CTCAAGAGACTTTGGGAGCTGGGCCCAGACTTTTGGAAAGAACTCTCTTCAAATGAACTTGGGGTGGTGATAGATCCAGTGAACTATTTGGCTCTTAGGTTGAGAGAACTCCGTGAGCTTGTTTCAGAGCATGGTTCAACATCAACATCACCTTCATCATGCTTGCATCTGGAGGTCTCCTTTCATTTTTGCAGGTACCTGAACTAAGTCTAGCTGGTGCATGCTTGGAAGGAAAACCAGGTGGACACCTGAATCTTAAGATGTAGACCATCAACACTTGAAACTGGTCACTTGGGACCTCTCTCACTTGTTGGTAGATTTCAGGAGGCCTTCCAGAAGTGCACCAAGTCTTGGGAGGGAAAATGGCCCTGGGTCATGGCACCCGGAGCCGGGAACTCACCCCGGTAGCTTGGTAGTCTGTTTTGTTCAGTTTCTGTGGTCAACCAGGATGCCCCCAGTTTTGACCCAAGCCAAATGTTCAGAGTAGACGTCCCTCAGCCGCACAGCTGACCGAGATGCGCTGGCCGGCAATGCCGAGATGCACTCGCAACGGGACCCGAGAAGCGTTCTTTTCCTTTTTCCTATTCCTTCTTTCCGCCGGTTGAATGGTTGGACCGTTGGTTGATGATAGGTTGATCTGTGTTGTTGGTGCTACTCGGATCTGGTCTAAAGTTCTTGATTCACATGGGGAATCTGGGCTTTCGACCCCAAGGGTAAACCAGCCCTTTTCATGCAAAGAACCGCCGAGTCGTCAGATCCTGCGGGCGGCACCGCCAGGACATGACGCGCGCGGATGAACTGCGACGTCTACGCTCGGATGCAGGGAAGGCTCAGATTGGAGTGGTGGAAGAGGTTTTAGGGCTGATCTGAGATGGCCGAGGTTGTGACCTGGAATCAACCAGAGTGGGTGACCAAAAGTTATTTGGTCCGCCAATGAATCAGGGTGAAGGAGAAGGAGATGGCATGTCGACTGGCTTAAGGAATTGAGGGCGGCTGGCATTCCTTCTCACTGATTCCTTTTTCCCGTCGCTGGGTGCCACCACGTAGTTGATCAAAAAGCCTGTGGTTCGGTGCCAAACAGCCTGTGGTTCGGGTGCGTGGGAGTGGGTGTCAACCACCCGTTGGACGCCACCTTTTTTCAAACGGATGGGCCATGTCATCCCGAGCGGCCAAAGACTGCAAACTTGGTTTGTAGCTCGTGATGGTCATGAAATCTGGCTGAGTCACACTGGACGCCCATGAAGGTTCCACCGCCGCCATGCCTCGCGGCCATGCCTTGCTGGTCGGTTCGTCGCGCCAAGGTGAGTAGCTTGAACCGAGAGAAGGAAGCCTTGGAACAAAGCGTGGCACAGGCGGATGACCATTTCAGATTGAGAGGAACAGCATATTGCAGTTGGATCTTCCAGCTTGGAAGATTATTTGATCTTGTCAGGCAGACAAGGAGAAGGAAGACCTCATCGAGAATTTCCTTTACACCAAGGACCGGCTGGTCTCACTTAGCCATTTTTTGGTATAGGCCACGCAATTGTGGAATGGTGAATCCACCGGTTCCAACTGGAAAACATGTCTCAAAGACTACTAAGAACCCAGCAATCGAACCACAAGCCAAATCTTGTGCAAAGCCAGGTCTTCAAATTTGGGAGCGCAGCATACCCTGATTGCTCCTGTACTACCGGTAGGTAGGAGGATTTCATCGGGCGTCAAGACCTTGTCCATGGCTCTGCGTCTTGATCAGTCCAGCTTTAGGCACCGTTACTGGATCTCTGCAGAAGACCTGCTGTCAAATTTTGTGCATGAGAGGGCTTTCACGGTGACCCTGTCTGATGAAAGTGGTTCCAAAACAGGAGTCGCTGATACGTGAATTTACAATCCCCACGGTGAAACGACAACGTGCCTCAATACCCGTCGTCTGACCTGCTTCTGTAAGGCCGGACTTCGACAGCTGGGCTTGATCATGTTTGATCTTCCAATCACTGTTTTGCGATCCAATAAAGGACTTCTCTGCAATCCACGCTCCCGGTACCAAATCCAAATCGTTGAGACACTTGCGAGTCTGTCGTTCGGTCGCTGCGAGGGCTGCCTCGACAAGCTGCAGATCGCCTGCATCAACTCTCCAGCCTGTTCCCCCGAGCATGAGAGAGAGGCGGGGCTGGGAGTTCAGTGTGGTACAAATGGTGTTTCGGCTTTGAGTTGGAGGCACTTCCGGTTTTCCCTGGATTCTTTTTTTGGTTCAATCCTACTTTGAAATGCAGAAAAAAGACACTGCCACCATCATGACTTTGGGCCGTCCGTCTTTTGGGAAGCTTCCGCGCAAATCTCTTACTGCGCAACCTTTCCAGTCTTTCAGGTGGCTCAGCTCCGGGACACTTACAACCAGGCGAAGCGGCGAAGGGCTTTTCGTTTCCTTCGCTGGCGCGCCAGCGGCGCCCGGTGCATCGCCGGGTGCCACGGTCTTCTGCCGGTGATGCCGTGGCGCTGGTCTGCCAGGTGGTGGATGAACGGAATCGTTTGATGGTCCGCGTGGAGGCGGGAGAAGAGAGCACTTCGACTGGTTTGGTTGGTTTTACGAATGTGGAATTTGGATGACTGAGCCTCTTACATAGCCTCTTAGCATCTCTTAGCTATCTCTTTCTTCAGTTTTTGGGGTCTGGACTTTCCTTCGCACCGTGCCGTTGGGGATTGCGATGTGCAAGGCCATGGACAAGGACCGTGAGAAGCAAAAGCAGATTCGAGAGCTTGGGGTCTCAGGTGCCATGATGTCCAGTTGTCCTAGGTGTCCTTGCTTGGGGTCCTAGCTTGGGGTCCTAGGTGCCTAGAACCAGTCAGTTCAGTCAGTTCAAGGTCCAGGATGTCCTGGCACCTTACCCTCAAAAAAGAAACTGCAGAATGGACCGCAGGACGTTTTTCACCACGGTTTGGGGGTCCAGCTTTTGACTCCACTTGAATCCGAGGTACCTTATCTCCTCACTGCCAATATACCAAGCTGTTCGTTTCCGCTGAGCATTGGGCCCCGGGAATTGAAAAAGGCAAAAGACGTAGTGGTGGGGCCAAATCGCCAGGTTTCGAGGTAGTAGATCGACTTGCCCAGGTCTGCATTGGAGAAGGTCTCTCAGGCCAATGCGAGGCACCATGCGCCGTGGGGTGTTGGGGTTACCATGTGGTATCAATCGTGGTGTCAATTGGACGCCCTGAACACGCGTGCCGCGAGTTTGGACCGCCCATCGGTGATTTCCGAGTGTCCAAGCATGTCCAAGATGTCAGCCTTTGGGATGAGTTGCGGGTGGTTCTGTGCAATTCAGTGTTGCTTGCCTTGAAGCAAATATGTTCAGTAGGGCTGGGATTCGTTTTTGTTTCGGTGGTTGCATTGCTGTCACTGTCAGAGCTGGCATGGGCTGCACTGCACTTCCAGGCTCTTGGAAGAACGAGACCGCCTGGAGAAGGACCGCAGCACCATCAATGGCTTGAGATGATTTGACATAGATTCAAGCTCATGCAGAAACAACCACAGTATGTGCCGATGTCTACCAGACCTTTTCTTGTCACGATGCTTGCAGACCAAACTCGCCGCCCGGTCATTTTGGTCCCTGATTTTGAAGCTACTACAATCCCTTCGTTTTCTCACAGGAAAAGGCCCGGGTGTCCGCCATGTACCAGCAGACCGTCGGCATGCTCGCACACTCTGCAGCCAAAGCAGAAGCTGACGAGGACCGGGAGAGTTCCGGACCACCGGGAGAGTTCCGTCATCGTCGGTCGCATGCAAAGCATGCAAAGGAGGTCCGAAGAACCATGGTCTGGAGAGTTTCTGGAATCAAGCATGCACAATCTTGGTTGCATTCTCTAGATCTTCAGCAACCTGTTTTGGGTGGGTTCTCAGAATATGTTCGACAGCCTGCGCAGGCTGGCCTGCGTTTTCAGCTTGGTTTTCAGGAGAGCAACGTGGCAGCCTTCGAGTCCCTGAAAGCGAAGGTGGTAAAGATGCGGGATCTGCTCCAGAAGAAGGACGAGATCACAAGATGGATAATCACTTAGTCTATAGTGCAGGGGGGGGTGAAGATCGACCCGATGGGGATGCCTGATGTTCATGTTTGCTCGCAAGGTCCCTTGCTGGTCAAAGCCTGAACTGATCTTCGGAAGTCAAAGACTTTCGATAGGGGGGGGGGGCGGGTGGGGGGAGACCTCAGAGACGGCAAGCCTTTCATCGGAGACATCCATCGCTGCTGGTTGATTGACTCCCCAAGCCGTGCCTGGGCGCCGTGCCAGGAGGAGGAGAACGACTCCTTGCGAGTGCGGCTGAGGCGGCTGGCACGGCCCGAGTGCAAGGCGCGTCCGAGTGAGGGGGGCACAGAACGATGACACAATATGCGTTTCGCCTGGGTATCAGAGCAGTTTTTGGAAGATTTGCATGGATGCTATACATGTATTTACGGTGTTTTCAAAGGGTTTTGAGCTAGTGTGTGCTCTCCCAAGCACACCCGCTCTCTAAATTAACCTGCTTGCCTTTTCAAATCTGTGCCCCAACGATCCCCAAAGGATGGTTCATGCATTTATGGCCCTTTGCCTGGCGCACTTGGGCTCGACCTGGACACATTCCTAGACAATTCCAAGTTGGAGTCACCATTGGACTCGGTCATTTTTCTTGTTTGACAGGAACCACGAGGGCCAAGCTCCCACCATCGTAACTCGGAGCTTTTGGATCACTCGCTCCGCGGTCGCCACCGCGAGGCGCCGGGACTGGCGCCGCCCTGAGGGCCGCGAAGGGCCTCGGCCTCGGCCCGATGAAAAGGGCCCGGTTTCACCGGTGGGGAAGAGCGAGATGGAGCAGTGACTCGAAAAAGGGAGGATGAAATGGGACTGAGGGAGTAAAAGGCCTTTGTTGCATGCATTGATGGTTGTATCATAGAGTTTTCAATCGACAGACGGTCCAGAGAAGGACTGAAGGGTCAGAGACATGTCTTGAGCCAGGAGTTTTGCAAGTCTGTTGGCGTCAGCTCTGATGTGCTCTGAATGGAGCAGGTCTTCAGGAATCAATGGGCCTTGAGCTGCCCACAACAAGAATCTCTCTCGCATCCTGTAGAGCGGCTCAATGCATCTCACAAGGCCGGCGGAAATCCTCCGCTTGAAAGCAGTCATTTGTTTGGAGTGAGGAGATGGTTGTCCACTACTTGCTGCTGGCATTGTTTGCCACTGCATGGGCGGACGCAAGTCCCTGCGCTGATGGTGCTTGCGTGGATGACATGGCGGCAATGCAGCTGCACTTGGCCGCTGGTGATGCAAAAGCATGTCAGGACTTCTTCGACAATGTCGACCAGTGCAAAGGCCATGCCGACGACAAGTACTGTGGCTGCGACCTAGTCTCCAAGCAGGATACAGCGAGTGATGATAGCAGGTGTTGTTTGCTTGGAGCTCTCAACATGTGTTTGGCCGCTGCTGGTAAGCCCGGTGCAGCTTCGCCCACCTTTGGTTGGATGACGGTCAACTTTGACATCAAGACCGACAAACCCACTGAAGGTTGGTGGATCTTGGGGCAGGGTCGACTGGATGGGAAACACTGGAAGTTTGCCTCGGACGAGCTGGGTACTTGCAAGCTCTTCAGCAGCGGCTCTTATGTCCAGTACGTGCCGGAAGATTGGTCCGGGAACTTCTATGCGGCGCCGCCCGAGTTCACGGAGAACTACAAAGCGTGGGCTGGTGCGGATCAGCAGACGGTGAAGGTGGAGCTCACCGTGGAGGCGGATGCTAAGAGCTTCAATTGGGATCTCTCCGCCATTCCCAACAACGGTGCAGGGGAGTGCCTTGAGTCATCCTATGAGGGAAAGAAGTTTTGTGGTGTGACCTTCAATTCCACTGCCGATGCCAATTGCCCAAGCGTTGGGAAACCATCGAATCCCAAAGATTGGAAGTGCCAAGACGAGAACAACGTGTGTTCGGGCACGTGCCCTGGGGTCGGTGTACCTTATCGCTATGGCTGGTGGGGTACTGAAGCATGCTACGACTACGACCAGTGCAAGAAATCCAACGGTGGCTGGTGTTCCTACTTCAACCAACGTGGATACTTGGTCACAGCAGCCAAAAACATCACGTGCAAGTTCAACGAGCAGGATTGCGACTGCGACTGGGGAAAAGTCCGGAAACCACCAAAGGAGGACCAGTTCCAGTGCTCTTACGGAACCACGGATCTGGACATCGGTGGTGCTCAGCAGGACTGCTTTACGGCACCCCACGACGATCGCAAGGATATGGGATGTTCGATGGAGAATTCGGAGAAGCTGGCCTTGAGTGTGGACATTTGTTTGTGGGGCGACAAAAAGTGTGATGGTAGTTTGAAGGACCCAGTGAGCCTCACGAATTGCGAAGGCAAGGTGTACGGCACATGCCCCCCACCCACGGACCCACAGGTCTGCCCCACCAATGGCAAGTGTTGCACTACAGGTGAGAAGTGCCCAGACTTTGATCCGATGGATACCTCCACGATCCCCACTTGTTCGGACTTGCTGGACGAGGTGAAGGATGACAAGAAGCTGGCCAGTATCCTGAATTCCTGCCGGGGACAGGATTACCGGATCGGCCAGACCACCTATGCCTGCATGACCTTGCGCCAGAACCACCCCTTTCCCAACAACTGCGAGCCAGACAACTTCAAGGCCGACGAGACGGCGATCTGCGGCGATGAGAAGCCGCTGTCCTTTGACTCGGAGTATCATTGGACACGCTACACGTGCGAGAAGACTGCGGGGCAGCTTGGCTCAGACTGCTCAGATGTTGATCAATTTTGGTGTGAATCCCCAAACCTAGCAAATCTGAGTCTGTAGGCTATAGGTATTTGTCAAAAGGACATGCGTGGGAAGGGTGGCATTCAAGCAAATCCAAGGAAGGCATGGTGCAAAATGGACTACGAACCCTTGGAGAAATGCGAAAAGCTGTGTCCCAAGGACAACCCTCCGTGTGACAATTGCTATGATGAAAACCACGCGACGGGCTGTTATGACCAAAGTGCACCGACGCCGGTTTGCGCAGCCCCGATGCCTTCGAAGGCCTGCTTCCTCTCAGGCAAGACAGCTTGTGACAACAAGTGAGAGCCGAACCAAGATCTTTTCGGAGGTGTTCAGTTGGACGTAACCGAACATCGACCCAACGTTGTTTTCTTTTGGGACCTGCGCGCAACTCCCGAGGGCATCAGGAATGGAACCTCAATTTTGGCGCATGGTCGAGGTGAAAGGCAAAGACCTGCCTCATTTGCTTTAAGCGCTCGGTCAGGGGGGCCATGCTAAGGACTTACCTTCCCCCTTTGTGTACCGTGCAGACTCTAGATGCGAGCAGTACAAGATGCAACACCTTGCTCACTTTAAACTTCTTCAAAGGAATGAGATGAAGTTGGTCTTGCACGTAGGCCTCCGGAAGCCGAGAACTGTCAGTTTGTCAGCAGCTGCAGCTGTTTTGTGATCACAGTGAAAGACGAACACCGCTTGTGCAAGTCAGACCAGCCTTCCGTCAGATCAGGACGAATCGGTTTTCAAACAAATCCTTGGGTGAGGTGAAGAATTGGGCCGGTTGTGAACAATCATTTGAGAACGGTCACGGAGTGCAAGAGTTCTGTCGTCGCGCTTGCGATGGTCATTTGCCAACGCAGATCGAATCGAGGAGGCTGAGCCGTAATCCGAGACAAGTGACCCAAGGGAATGGATTCAGATTGATGGCAATACCCAAATCAAATCAAGATAAAACAAACGACTAGTTATAGTTATATACTTAGTTGTGTTTCTCCAAATTTGCCGCATAATTCTGAGCTTTTGTATGCAAACACAGGAAGAAGACCATTTGTGCCAGTGCCTCAGAAACGACACTCAGACGCCCAAGAGGAAAGCGAAGCAAGCACTGTCTGCAAATAGACCTGGGCACTTGTGGTATTTACTGTGTTTCTTTTCCCCCATCTTGAATGCGATAGACTCGATGGCTAGTTTTTTTTTTGGTGTTTTCCAGCAGTCTTGTTTTGCAGTTCTCCATAAGGTGCACCCACGACAAACAGTTCTGTTGCAATGGCCACCGGCTAGCAAGTCTAAACCGGTCTGAAAAGCGTGTCTTGCGCAGCATTGCTTAGCATTTCACTTGCTTATTGCCACTAAGCCCAGGCCAGCCAGAACAAGAAGGAGTAGATGATTTTCTGGCACTTCAATGGTTACCTGGCAGAACTTTTTGCAGCCTTTGTTGAGCGTGGTGCTGAAATGATGATTTCTCAGTCGGTCAGCGGAGATTTCGGTGAACTCCATGTTTGTCTTAGGGGTCCATTTTCTGCAACACAGACGGGAAAGTACTTGAACACTTGAACCCCCCTTCCACAGGATCCAAACATTGTGGCAACTCCGCCAGCGATTGCTCAAAGCATGCAAGAGACGGATTCTTCGGAGTCCGAGGCTTCCTTTCGAACCCATTCTGACATCGGATTCGGTCAGTACCCGTCGCAGGGAAGGGTTCAACCTTCAAGCAGGCGGAGGAATCGTGGACAAAGACAGCGGAGGCGGAATCGTCGGAGAATGGCTGCGAGTGAGGGACAGGTGGAGTTGGGGCAGAGGTCACGATCTCCAGGGGTACTTGGCACATCCTTTTTGGGCAGTGGACATGCAGATGGGCGTGGGCTTGCCAGTTCTTTGACAACCAACTATACCAGTGATGACTGCTGGGCCTTTTTCAAGAAGAGAGGTTTGGTTGCCGTGTCTGGAGAAGGGGAGAGATGTTCTATTCATCATGAGCGAAACCTGCGCTGGACAAACGAGTTGGCCACCTTCCTCAACAATGAAATGAATCGTCTTTTTAACAACGACCGCTTGTTTAATCTGCAAGAAATGCCAGACTCTTTTTATCATGCAGAGTTCAAAATGGGAACCAACAGACACACTGTCCAAACTTCCCCAAGCCAAGCCCTCGACCTCAATGGAGCATCCAAATTCTGGGCATGTGTTTCAGTGGAGAAGAAGCAAGGAATGGAGCTTACAGCTGCGCAGGTGAGCGAGAGGATTCGACACATGGGTGGGGCGGCTTTCCAGGGTTACGCATCCACGTGCCTGGAACAAGGAATCAATGCCAAGACTGCGTGGCAGTTGACGGATGAAAATTTGAGAAATGTTCTCCATGTGCACCATGAGTCTCATAGAGTGACCCTGCTGGAGGAGTTCAAGTGCTTCCAACCTGATCGAAGCGGGGCTCTGCTTCACTCAGAGTTGGTCTCGCCGCCTGTGGCTGGCAACGTTTTCTCCACCCCCGAGACAGGTGGAACTCAGTGATCGTATGGAGGCAGCTCTCAAACACATGATCCGGAAGAAGATGCTTGCCCAAAATGAAGCAAGTGTGGCAGAGCCTCTTCTGAATCTAACCTCTTCCAATCAAGCTTAGTTCTTTGGGCAAATGTCATGCTGTGCTTTGCAATCGCCTATGTGTTTCAGACAGTTTGGTGCTATGTGTGCCGAATTAAAACTTTGGTTTTGGTATGCTTGCAGCGCCTGTGTCCCTTTACTTTGATGTTGAGGGCAGCGTGGTGCTGCGTGTGCCGAATTCCAACTTTGGATTTTGGTACGCTTGCAGCGCCTGTGTCCCCTCACTTTGATGTTGAGGGCAGGGTGGTGCTGTGTGTGCCGAATTCCAACCTTGGTTTTGGTATGCTTGCGGCGCCAGTGTCCCTTTACTTTGATGTTGAGGGCAGCGTGGTGCTATGTGTGCCGAATTCCAACTTTGGATTTTGGTGCGCTTGCAGCGCCTCTGTCTGACAAATCTTCCATGGTTTGATCAATTCATGTATAGCACTGAGACCGAGTAAGACCCTCTGAACGCTCAGTGAAGGTCCGAAGTGGTCCTTGCAACCTTGCATACCCTTTAAGTGTACCAGATGTAACGACTCATTGTTTGGGATCAGAGCTTATGAGTCCAGAAATTGGGTCCGGTCTATGTCATGTTTTCATTTCCATTTACCAAAAAGGGTTGCGATGCATAGTCAGGATTCCCTCCAATTCACTTTAGGTGAGTTCCGCGAGAGAGAAAAGGTGGGTTCGACCGTGCGAATTGGCATGTGTTCGTGGGACTTTGGATGATAGACATCCATGTCTTTTTTCGGTCACCAGTTCGGTGTTTGCACCAGTCATGCTTGTTGCGACATGACACAAGCCACATCTTGTCTTCTCCAGTGCATGGATGATCGGCAGTCTGATCTGATGGATCTCACCGCTTAGGTTCAACTGTTTGCCTTGCTCTTCTTGTTGGAGGACATGCTCTTTCTGGCCGCTTTTGGCAGAGCTGAGGAGCTGAGATGAGAGCACCTTTCAGTGGGAGACCGTTCACCACCAACCTCTAAGAAAGGTACTCAATTTCCTCAAGTATGTGTCATGGTGGATTGAGCTATGGAAGTTATATTTATGAGCTATGAGTGAAAAAACTGTTGTGAAAACATACACATTTGTTTGCACCCCTTGAGATTTTTGAATGTGTGGCATACGATGTTTTGAGAGGCTTTCATGAACAGGTAGTCCTCGATGTCCTTCATCAGCAGCAGGGAAGTCTTCACTTTGCTCGGCCAAGCTGGGCTGCGTTGTGCAAAGATGTTCTCATTCTGCCAAAAAGGGGAGGCGAAACTGAACCGGGAGATGTTCTCCAAATTGCGCCGGCAGGTTGAGAAGGAAGATACCTTTACGAACATAGGCACTCATCTTCCTCCTTGGTTAGAGGCAAACTCCTATCCAAGTGCCTTTCTTTTTCGAAGTGAGAGTACAGCAGTTCGAGTAGTCGACAGTCCACTTTTTGACTTCTTGGAAGTTTCGAGCATGAAGTCTTGACTTGTGACAACTCTTCTTTTTACACACACAGACCACAGACCACAGACCTCTCTCTCTCTCTCTCGCTCTCTCTCTCTCTCTCTTATTCTCTTGAGAGTTTGTTAGGATTCTGGAGCGAACAAACTGGGTGCCACTCCCAGTTGTCACAAGTGCCTGGGTGAGTTCCCAGTTGCAAATCTCAATGTGCCCAGTGCCTGAGGATGTTCGCGACCCGACCTGCGCCCGGATGTGCTGTTGGCTCTCCAGCTGCGGTCGGGGGAAGTTTTCAGGACGCGCAGGACATCGGCGGCCACGTCTTCCTTGAGGCGCGGAACATGATGGCCACGTCTGCATTGGAGTAGCTTGGGGATGTTGCACCAAAGGTTTTCATGTTCTGAGAGGGAAGAAGTCTCCATGGATGTGAGAAGACGCCGGCAGTGGGTATGCCACCCTCTTGAATTTCTCCTCCTGTGTGATGGAGGCCACTGGACTTCCTGAAATTCTTCTTGGCATTTGAGCAACTCGAAACGGAGCGGCCTTTTGGTACTGAGACAACTCTCTTCCCCACACTTTTGGACCACTCTTCCCATGGATGGGCCCCTCAATTTGCTTCTAGCATGCCTTGTGAGGTCGATTCGGGCGCGATGCCGGTGTGGATACCTAGAGCTTCTGCCGCTGTTGGCCAGGATCATGCACGCCCTTAGTTTTGATTTTCCTCCTATGCTGGCATCATGCCTCCAGCATGCTGACGTCCATGCCGGCCATGTTCAGATGAATTTCCTCCAAGTGACACATCTTGGGTGCATGACGGACTTGGCACATTGGACTTCTGTGGAAGGTTGGTGTTCCAACTACATTGGTGTTGGTACCATGTACGAAAATCCGTGAGACTAACACACAACTTTTAAAGATCACAACAAACTGCCAGTACATTGCTTGAAAACATTGTCATGTAACATATAGTCTTCTTGCAAAACCTCATTCTTCCAATGCTTTCAACCCTGGCGACGTCCTCGAGGACCTCGGCAACAGTTTCGGGACAGGCGCCAGGCTTACCTTCCAGCATCCCCTGACCGTTCAGATGCCATTCGAATGATGTATGTAGAATTTCAGGGACAGCCTGTTACTGGTGGTGGCCTTACTGTTTCTACATCATTCTACATCCCCTTATATACTGGTGCCAGGTCTCTACTACTGGGGCCGTAAGACCCGTTGACTCGAACCACGAGCTCAGAGTCCGATCGGTGCCTCTTAGGCCGTTCCCCTACGGATCGAGCGGCTGCCGGAGGCTTTGCAAGAGGCTTGGCAAGAGGGAAGACGGCCGAAAAGGGAGGTGAAGAGGATGATTCCCAAGGGAAAGGAAAAAGCCGTGCTCATGTTCTTTGGGGGAATTATATACTTGCAAGTGAATTGACCCACAAGCTTGCAGCTTGGGGGGAACTGTTGGGAAGGTGTTTCAGTTCAAGCGAGCGATGGGGTTGGGTGAATATCATATGCTAGACCAAAACAAACCACAGATCTTTGCCATAAATGTCCTTTCTTTTGGCCTCGCCAACAGAAACCGCACGATCGAATACACGAAACACTCAGTGGACCAAAACAGGGCCAAAAGCTGGCCTTCTTTTCAATCCAATTCGCCAGATGACTCAGCTTGCAGGAGATGCAGAAGAGTCTTAGCACCCAGACTCAACTCTTTAACCTGGTGCAAGCCTCAGGTTTCATCCCCTCAGCAATCATCCAGCGATCGAAACTTGGTGAAGTCAAGTCAGTTTGCCCCCCCTCCCATGAATCAAGAGAGCATACGATGGTGTTTTTGTTTGGCGAACGTTTGTTATTTTGAGGACAAGGTGAGGAATTGGTAAACGGATGATTATTGCAATCTGGTGAGTTGTCAAGGTTTGGACATGTTGTAGACCTGGCCTAGTTCTTGTAGTTAGTTTCTACTTTCTACAGCAAAATCCATCTCCATCTCGCAGTGGCAGTGGTTCCAACTTGAAGGCGGCTCAGTGGCAGTTTCTCCTCGGCCTTCCTCACCAACCGCACTCTTCATTTTGGAGATCGCCCTGAGGTGAACGCGGAAGTGCAAAAGCTTCAGGCGGTCCATCCCTGCGGAGAGCAGGTCCTTTTTGTTGGATTGGTTCATTAGGTTGATTGATGTGTTAGAACATGTTTTCTGTTTCCCAAAGGTATTGATATGTATATATATATTATTATATATTTATATACTGTATACTAATATTTGTCCCCATTTCTTTTTATATTATAAAGCATTTCTATGCGAGGGGCAGATCCCAAGTGGCTCAATGGAACTCGACAATTTGTGTTTATCATGGAGCAGAAGTGCCTGTGACATGAAGAAAGGAGGTGTGAAAGAGTGGTTGGCACCAAGTTGCATCTAACAGCTCCAAAGTATGATTATCTTGGTATCTTGTTCTTCTAGTCAGACCGACACCTGTGTCTTCGCCATTTTTCAGCGTCTTCTTCTTCGCCATCGCTGCAGGCGGAACTCGCAGCTGTTAAGCGAGAGCGTGATACGCTCAGTGGAACCCTCAGTCCGACGCATTGTGCCAAGTCCCGCCACACGCCAAGTCTCCGCACACCCGTCGACGGTGCAGGACAGGCCAACGCTGCGCTGACCGCACAGCTGAAGGAGGCGTGAGGAGGCTCAAGGCGTCGAGCTTGGGGGAGGCCCAAGCTCTGATTTCGTGGACCGACAAGGACCTTCGTTCTTCGTACTCACGGTGTGGTCTGGTGAGATAGTGCTTTGCATGAAGACACGAGGCTGGCAAATTCTTCAATGATTCAATGGTCCAGACTTCCGCAAACCCGAAAGGAGTCTTTTGGGTAGGCTAGCTGCCCGTTGGAGCTCGGACAATCCACTAGCTTCGACACCCGCAGATTGAAGAGCTTGTCCCCTTGAGAAGCTGCGTCAACGAACACCTCCGAATGGGGTCCAATTGGGTGCCTGGTCGGACGGAAATGCCATCGTTCGCATCTTCGATTGGACCATGGGGTTTGTCTTCCACTGAGGTCGGAAGACAAAACGAGAGGGGCGCCCCCCACTGCAGGCTGCTTGGCTTTGATGTTCAAGATTAGGCTTCCTTGGAACACGTGGGCAGGGCTGCTCCCACTTTATTCCGAGGTTGGTTGAAACCGGTGGCATTTCCCCAACAGCAAGCCTTTGTGTGAAATTGGTTTCTATTTGTGATGATGCGATCCCAACTTCAGAAGCCACCGAGTATGATCTCGGATTGGATGTGCAATGGTCAGCGATATGATGCAGATACACATGTTTGAATCTTCCAAAACCGATTTCCTCCGGGCTGGTAGGGTTTCTCCACCTGTTATATTATTGCATAGATGGTCCCACATCGATTTCCTCCAGGCTGGTTGTAGGATTTCTCTTCCTTATTCTTGTACATTTTGGCGTCCGACTCGATAGCTCTTCGAAGAAACCACCTCTAGGCACGGGGGTCGTCGCCCAGCTGGGCAGTGAGAAAGATAAGCCCGGGAGCTGAGCCACGGGCGTGAGTGAAGGGAAGGGACGGAGGGGCTGAGGAGGTGGAGAAGCAAATGGAGTTCCTAGAGCCATGCCATTCTGATTCAAGAGGTGATGGACCTGTTCTTTTGGTAAAACGGATGAAACAAGGTGCTGGGTCACTTTGATTGCAGCTGAGTTTTTTGTTTTGGCTTTAGTGGCGGAGTGGTGCGGTTGGTTTGAAGGGTGTGTTGGAAGACACGGCAAGTGAGTTTTGGTGGGAATTGCACTGGTAGGTTTGTGGAATCATTGCAGGAGGTGGAAGAAGCGTAGGACATGACACACGACCTTGCAAGTTACCAGGACACCAAGTAGGGCGTGCAGCTACTTCACACCAGATGCCACACTCAAAAAGACTGGAGCCGCTCCCTGGTGGATAGAGAAGGAGCACATCCGGAAAATCCATTGTTTTGTGAAGCTACCATAGAAGAATGCACCACGTCGCTGCCTTCCTTGATCTTCCTTCAACCCAACGGCGTAAAAAAGCATCGACCGCCTCTTCTCCGCTCAGGTCGGAGAAGTTCGCACTTGAGAAGTCCACCTGACACGTTTTGACCTTTTTTGGATGCACCCCTCCGTTTGGTCTGTAAAAAAGGACGCTACTAGGAGCAAAGGGCATCGCTACTAGGACGCTACTAGGGGCTCCTGGCCTTACTACTAGGAACAAGGACGCTACTAGGAGCTAGGTGAGGCTAAAGGGTTCTTGATGGCAAGTTTTAATGGCTCAATGGAACGACACTGAACGACACTCGTTTGATCGTCGAACAAGGTTTCAGGTGAGAAGCCGCACACTGATTGATGAGGTTTCTCCTAAAGCAAATGGAAACCTGAAACTCACCGTTTGCGAGTGGTGTCATCGCTTTCTCAGATGCAGCATGTCTGAGCACCAAGAAGACCTTGTACTCTCCCAGACAGAAGTGTTAACTTCGATAGCAGATTTCCTTTAGAATAGAATAGAATAGCAGGCATCGAAGAGGGTTGGTTTTGCTACTTTCCTCACTGTGAGGGTTCCACTGGGCGAAAACCAATCAATAACAAAGAGACAGACTTTGTCCAATGGGGATCAGCCAACTGCGCAGCTTCAATCATCCCTTCTTCTGAAGAGAACAAGGAGAAAAAGCAATTCGATTCCCTGAGTCCCATTTTACAGCTAGACAGCTAGACTGGTGTTTTTAAATCATTCTTTGTGTTCTAAGTTCTGTTTTCAGGTTGAAACCACCAGCCATTTTACAGTGACATCAATGTTGGCAACATTTTGTTGCTTGCGAAACGGGGGTCCTTTCTTCACTTGGTTTTCCACGGAGAAGAACACCGGAGGGACCGCCGAAACCACGGCGGGTGAAACACCACGAGGAAGGGCGCGGGTTCCGCAAACGGCATGGCGTCGCCAGGTACTTCCCGAATCACCACAAAGCTCCGGTGCACAGTGTAGCCATGAGTTGGAGCCCTGGGGACGTCGGTGCACTCGTGGGGGAACGGGACGAACTGGGGCACTTGACGTCCAGCTGGAAGCACCAAGGTTCTGAGCAACGTAACATACCATGGTCTTTGCGTGTTGATGGCTTGCATACCACGCATACCATGCCATGACATACCATACCATGCCATCTTTCTTTTGCCATACCATGCCATTCAGTCGTGTCTCAGACGGAGTCTTTTGGCGTGTCGTTCCGGTCGCCACACGTCCAACGACGAGGCGACGACTCCACACGCTTTGTGACCGCCTCCTGGGATGCGACGATGCACGTCTTCGACCTCACGAGAAAGGAACTGGACAAGCTCGGGGACCCCAGACGATTTCATGAGATTTCGCTTTTGGTTGGGGGGGATGAACGGAGGTGCTTCTGTGGGGAATAGATATCCCAGGCAAGGGAAGTCTGACCTTGCACTGGGGCGGCTTTTGTTTTTGGAAGCTTGGAGGCAAGCAGAATTGGATTAGGTCAGACCTTCTGCTTCGGGTTTTCTGCTTCGGGTGAGTCTTTTTTGGTCGTGCGTGTGACCGACCTGGCTGGTTCGGGCGCAAAGCACCGGTGCGAGCGGCAGATGCAGTGCGGCAGTGCCGGGACAACACCACAGGGCCTACTCAATGCCACTGTTTGAACCACAGGAACACCATGGAACACCCCCTTGGCATTGGATAGGATGGAATATCTGCAGTTCCTCCCTCAATGCAGCAACAGCTCCTTCTGAAGATATCATTAGCAGTCATTTAAGGCATGAGTTTATGAATGAACTCCCTGAGCCCGGACCCCCATCGACTTCGCTTGCCATCGACCCAGCTCGCTCGGGCCAGGACCCTGCGCAAGCAAAATGCCAGGGGGACCCAGCGCTCTCTGCGGTCCTCCAGAGTTGGAGAATGAGGGAGAAGTCTTTTTCGAAAAAAAACATCATCAACTCCAAGTCCTTTGTTTTTGATCCATTCAATGCCATTCTTTATGACTTACCAGTCTTTTGAATCTGAATCAGGACATTAGGTTTGGAGCCTCTTTGAGGGGCCCTTTAAAAAGCTCTTCCTTGGGCTCCTTACTTTGGTTCGCTTGTCGTGGACCTGCAGTCACGTGTCCTCCAGCGCCACGTAATCAGGCCGCAAAGAGTGAGCAGATGGGTGGCCTCTACTCTGTGGCCTTTGCGAAAACGGCCCGGACACCCGGCACCCTGCAGAAAGACCATGAAGCACCGGCGTGCGGAACAGAAGACGGTGCGGAAACTCTATCTGGTCATCCAGAGGTCGGATATGGTGTAGTTGAACAGATGCCGTTGTCGTAGTCCTGATGAGTCACATACGACATTTTGTTTTGTATACTATACTATATTGATCCTGGAAGTGAAAGATATTTTTCAAAAAATGGTTGTTCTATGTTGTTCTGGCTTTGTAGTGTTTTGTAGTGTAAAACCCTTAGTAAATCAATGGTGTTCGGTAAAGGCCAGTGAATAAATGGTAAAGGCCATTATGATCGGAAAGGGATCAGGACCAGTCACTTCCGCCCAGTCGGGGCGGGTCTTTGGTCACGTCAAGTCCAAGCTTTCCGGCTTCGAGGAGAAGGCATGCCCCCCTCTTGGCAAGGCCCACTTTCACGCTTGTTCAGGGACAGTATAATGATTTTGATATCAAAGGATGGCCAGTCATCCCACCCACCCACCCAGTCATCATCCCACACCTGCTCCCGTTATGACGCTCCAAATCACTCCACTCCACTCCGGTGAGTGAACCCCCCATGGGTTCACCGGACCGAGCTCGTGCCGACGGAACGGGCGGAGCTGAGGCCCCGGAAGTGCTGGGCTGCACCTCGGTGGACCGGCCGGGGGATCTCAGGGGCGGGGCGGGGCGAAGAAACAGGGAGAACTGGATGTGGGGAGTGTGGTGGTTAGGTGGTTTGGGTGAACTGGAAGATGAGTGGTTCTTTTTGGGAAGGACAGGTGTTGAGCGATGGAGGGAGTCAGAGGGTGGGCTCATGTCTGTGGGATGGCTACCCCGGCTCCTAGTGCACATTCGATGACTCTTTGTCAGGAGAGATTGCGCGGATTGCATGCGACCCTCCTCCTCTCGCAGATTCGCAACTGAGGCATGTATACTTGTGGAACCATGTCACAGGCAAGTCGGTCTGCAGACATTGGAGGTGAGTTGAATGCAGACGGATCAAATGTACCTACGGATCAAATCCAGCTAGCACATGTCTCCCTTGGCCCTCTTGAGGCCTTTTCTTGCTTCATTTGTTTCGGTGTTTTCCTGTGAACAAATACATCGAAGGTTCCCCCCAAAATGGACCCTGCTCTGGTCACGACGATCTTGAATGATCAGGGCAGCAAATCTCCAAGCTTGGTGGTGACAAGGGCCACCAGGAGCTTCCGCCGAGCATTCCGCGAACTCCGAGAATTCTCCGAGAAAGAGGTGGAGAGAGAGGTTGTGCCGATGATTAAAAGCACATATTGGGACAAGCCAAACGAGAGCACCCTGAAGAAGCCTTACTGGCACAACCAAATGCTGGGTGACCTGAGAGCTTCAGCATATCCCAGCTTTTGTTTTGTGGATTTCAATATCCAAAGGCTCCCGAACTGCTGCGGCAGGACGAAGTGAATGGCATAGACTTTCATGCAGGGCAGCAGGCAGGTTCTCAAACTCTCCAGTGGGTTTCACACATTTTGGGAGCTTGTCTTCCGAAATCTTCCCACCTCTCAGACAGAGCCAAAGGTTTTTCCATCCAGGTGGTAGCTTTGTCTCAAGCTGAGGCGATACATCGAAACATGACCAAATTCGGACCCATTGGCAGAAACTCATTTGAGCAACTGAATTCTACACAGCTGCTCATCTTCGTTGCGCAGGGGGAACTCCATAATTGTCAGACGGTCTCTGGGGAAGGACACTTCCACTCATGACACCTCCACTCACGAGCTAGTTCTTTCGTGACCCACGTGGGGCTCGGGGCCGATTCCTGACCTCCACACTGGCGGCTTCTGTCTTGCATCCATATTCATATATCGACATGTGGAATGTTCCAATCAGGGAGACGCACATGGGTGGCCCAGCCACACGGGGTGTCGCCGGTTTTTCCGTTACCCTCTTGGAAAAACACCGCTTGGGACGGACTCCTTTTTGAGAACGATTTTGAAGTGATCCGACCTGCCAAACCTGGACAAGGATGGAGCCTTCTCTAAACTTGGGGTCGTTCTGGATGGAGCGTCGTCATGTAGAAATGGAGCAGGATAGGGACACTGGCCTTTTTGTATTTTATAACCACCAAGAGAATGTTCGGTGATCAAATGACTACCAGAGGCAGAGGACAACTCTCTTAGTCGCCTCTTCCCTCATTTTTTCAATGACTTATCACCAATTGCAATTTGCAATGTGTGTTTCCTTGCCAGATAAGGGTCTTGCAGAAACTTGCGGTATTGCTTGAACACTTGCTGAAAGCCAAACAAAAGGCGCCAAGTCCGGACTGAACACTTTGCTGTTGGACCTGACTGAACCTGACTGGACCTGACTGGACCATGACTGGACATGCAAAGCTCGGTCCAGACTTCAGACCCTTACGACTCCACCCTTCAGACGCCCCTTCCGGCGACTCCAACCGGGGGGCCCCACAGGTCATGGCAACCGCGTCCGATGATTCGAACGCCGCCTGGTCAGCATTGGCTAACGCCGGAGATCTCGCCGGACTCGCATGGCGGAGAGGAAGTCTTCCTAAATCACCTAAGGGTAGAGAGGTTCCGTTCTCACCTTGTGTATTGAAGAGGGTTCTGTTCCCATTCTTCGGAGAGGGTTCTGTTTTTTTGTGTTTGGTGTATTGAAGACATCTAGGGAGATATGCCAGCTACCTTTTTTTTTCAGCTGCTTGTGTTCCTCTGTTGAGTGGGTCTCCGGTGCAGAAAACTCTGGGGATCGCTGACGTCCGTTGTTCACCGGGGTGGTGCGGGTGGTCCTCTCCAGAGACATCCCTGTTCGCGTTCGGAGTTTTGAGCACAGCAGTGGTGGCAGTGGGTGTACAGTGATGCTCGCTCCAAAGCAGCATGAACTCACGGAACGTGAAGAGGCCCAGTTCCATCTTGCAGGAAACCCTAAGGCCCAGACTAGTTGACACACAGCGATACTGGTGCGAGCCCAGCGCCAACCGCCCTTCCCCCACCCAAAACAGCAACTTTGCATCTGGATTTCGGCCCGGCATGCGACGTGTTTTGCCTCGTCTAAGTGCCTGTCAGGTCGTTCAAAGAATGGTCAAGAATGGATGAGTGCAGCAGTCAAGCTTCACAGACCTAAACCACAATAAGCGGTTGGGTTTTGAGCTGTGTGGCTTCTGGACAACTGCCCCACTTGTTCAAACGTTTCCCTCTGGTGAGCCACTATGACATATATGGGGATGGGATAGGTGAAAACCTGGAGCCCGAACACCGTGTAGCAGTGTAGCGAACGACCTTCCAGGTAGGTGAACGAAAGTATGGTGCCATGAGCCACAGCCAGAGATCCTTCAGCCGGGTCGCATCACTTCAATTACGACTCGTCGCTGTAAGGCCATCATCTGGGACTTCGCCGAGGGCATTCCTCTGCGAACGCCTGGGAGCCCCTATGATTGGGTGATTGGACGAGTGGCGAAGTGGTGTAGAAGGATTTGGGAGTGACTTGCTGCAGTTCTGCTGGTTCCGAGGTGTATACATGCTGAAGATCGTTAGTTGTGTGAAATGGGTGTCTACTGGACAAGGGGATCACCAAGGACCCCTAAAACATTACAAGCCCTAAGCATAGACTTTTTCACGGCCATGGGTCGATGGGTCGTACAGCAGAGCTCTTGGGGGAAAGAACAAAAACGACTTGCGGGACATGCTGACACGAAGCGTGTATATCAATGGTACAACTATACCAGAGGCCTCTAAAGGGCTGGTTAATGGACACCCCATTCACCCCCAAGGGGCTATGCATAGACACCCCAAACAGGTCGCCCTGGTATACCACTCATTCTATCCTCTTAGGACTTGTCGCTCTCGGGATCTTTTGCACAAGTCTTCACCTTCAAAGCTTCCTCTCAGGTCTGCTGCAGTTCTGCCGTTCCGAATCTCCTGTTGTCAGAGCCGTTCTGATCTCTTCCACGCTCTTCAACACGTGTCCGATGTGCTCGCAGACTTCTCGGGATGAGGCTGAAGCATCCAGAGAAGCCAGTTTATGGGGTGACCTTCCTTGGCAAGGACGGGCGTCCACTAGTCGACTGGGGAGGGAAGGGTGCTCGATCAGGTAACAGATGAGGAGTGAACGAGACTTTAGATTGAGAGCTCCTAGTAGCTTCTTGCTCCTAGTAGTAAGGCCAGGAGCCCCTAGTAGCCCCCAGTAGCTTCTTACTAAGGCCTGATGGAAGCTAAACAACCACTCCTGCGAAACCAGTTTTCCATGCGCCAAAGAGATGGCCATGAACGAGCGATTTTGGTTTTCTAGGGCATCGCTAGGACCACATCGGACACATCGTGATATCTTCGGAAACCATTGCGTGAGACCAAATGGTTTCCGACGTAGTGAGATCCACCATGCCGCCAGGGCCCGTTCCATCGGCCACGCAACTGGTGTTCAGGCTCCCTCGCTCGATTGGGCCTCTCCCCCACCCCCACTTCACCCCCGCTTCACCCCCGCGTGCGCCCGCGTGCGCCCGCGTTGTCCTCGCGGTGCGCACCGCGTGAGGACCCCGAGAGGCAATACTTCGTCGCCACCTGCTGCTTCGACCAGCGCCGCTGGCATACCTTGGGGATTCCAAACTCCGGGATGCAGGGATTTGATGCAGCCAGCTTTGCAAGCTGCGGGACGGTACTTCTGACAGATCCAAAGATGAAGGGTCCCTCTGATGCGAAAACTCGACAGATCCAGCGGTTGTCCTCGACTCATGCGAAAGGGAGGTGAACCACTTGGGACTCGACACTCCTTCAAAAGAATGGACACGGTTTTTCCAACACCCGCATCAGTCGGAACATCCAGCCAGACTGCCATCAGTCGGATCAAGACTCCCCCAGAAATCACCTTCCAAAGATGGACCACTCTGTGAACCGACCTGATGTTTGGAGCTGCCAAAACTTCTCGAACAATGCCACCAGCCCTGCCAGGAGGACCCGCATTTTTGACATGCGGGACAAGAAGGCTGGCTGGCTGTTTCCGTGATCGTCAGGGTTTTTCAGCAGCAGCCGGGACAGGGCGATTGAAGCTTTTGATGAGCATCCCAAATATACAGTAAGTAGTTCTTGCTTCAGGGAGTTCGTGGGCAAAAGAACCCCTTCTTTGTCACCACCGCCGAAAAAGAGAACAGGTCGAGCGGAGCGACCCGAGCTCGGCACCGGCGGCCAGGTAGTGACTACTCTCGATGGTCATACGGATGATATTATTGGTCCCAGACTCAGGGGACCCACCGGTACGGACCGGCACAGGACCGGGGCGTTCTCACTGACTCAGCCGGTGACCCGGTGGGTGTTTGAGTTGTCCAAAAAGGAAGGAGCCGAAAGGGAGAAAAGGGAGCTGGTTTGGGGCCCCGTTGGGGGCCCGATTTGGTGCCTACGGTAGGCCGTGGGAGACGACATTGCTTGGAATCTGTTAAAACACATGATAATCAGATTTCCTTTTTGTTCAACGGAGAGCAGCTCCCCCATCCTTTTACAGAAGAATTTTTACGTCCAAAATCGATGCGAACATCAATCCCAACGCCCATGATGCCAGGTATTGATTATGCGACCCAGGGGCTTTTGGCCACCGGATCGGATGATGGGTGCTCCAGCTCAGCGTGGATGGATCGCCCCGAGGGTTGGGGCGGAAACAAGAGCTATATAGACCGAAGGTTCCCCTGGCAGCTAGACGGTTGGCTTTCTTAGGACGATGGGCTTTCAACAGAAACCAGCTGCTGCCCTAGCTGCTGAAGTTGGCTTTCTTGGGGTGATTGCACCTGCGGATGATCAACGTCTCAACGCGGCTAGTGGCTAGAGAGAATGGCAAGCGGCCACAGCTTGGACGCCTTTGATGATGTCCATGTTTTTGAGACAAGAGCAATGCTTTCCTCAAACAAAAAGAGCCTTTGCCTCAAATAGGCCATATGGACAAATCCAGAACTTCCAGGATTGCTGTTGATGGTCATCACTCATCACTTTTTTTAATTAGCTTTTGACCTTTGAATCCTTTGTTTTTGTTCAATTCCCTCGAAGCCCTACCTTTGAATCCCTGGACATTGCGACTCCTCCACCGGTGCTTTTCGGGACCGCCTTTAACTCGCGCCGAGTTACGGATCCGCAGCTCGACGTTCTCCCGTCCACAACTGGTCTGAGGAATATTTTAATCTACGATACAAAGACATGGAAGTTGCTACATCGACTTGAGTGCAAGGCCGGAGATGTGAAGCGGACCAGAGGGGGTCCGGGTCGGATGGAGATGGGAGAGGTCGGACTGCTGGGATGAGCACTGCAAATTGCTATTCGGATCCTTTTGGCAGAGCTTGCGTGTTGCGTTTTGCAACTGGGTGTGCTTGGCGTCTTGGAACTGGGTGATGAAGCTGTGTTTAAAGTCAACACGTGTTGCCCTCAGGTGCACGCTGCGTCCGGTTGAACGATGTGCTTTGTACCTCTTTTTGGTTCAATCAGGGGATGAAAGATCGATGGTTTCACCGTGAAGAGACAAAGGGAATACCCCAGACACGACGAATGGGACTGGAATATTTACCTACCCAAATAAGCCACAGAACAAAAGGAGGAACACACACACACCTCTACCCCAATGTATCCAACCAGAATGCAGTCCCAAACAGGTGGTGTCTGGGTGTCTGGGTACTATTAAGAAGCAAAAACAGATCCCTTTCACAGTGCAGATGTGTTTGTGCAGAGCCTCCACTCATCCACTTCATCCCGTCCATTCCCGGTGTGTTCGGGTCGGTCCCGTCCCCCGGCGGAGCCACCGACCCACAGTGGGCATGGTGAATTGGATGCTTGGAGAAAAAAGGGGTTGCCATCCAAACCCATGGTGATGTTTCCATTGTCCTACCAAGCCGTACAGGAGAAATTGAAAAAAAACACATGGTTTCAACGACTGGTTTCCGCTGCTTCCTTGGATCGACTAGACTAGACCTGTAGACCTTCCAGATCCGCACGGGACCTCTCCGGCAGGTGGACCTCTCAGCAGAGACGGAGGTGCAGCGAGCATTCCCGGGGTGAACGATGGCAGGTGTGGGCCAGGCCAAGCTTGTTCTGGACAAACATATGTTATTTTTTGGCAATCAAGAAACAACGATGAGGGATTGGTCAGCTTCTCTGTCAAAGATTTTTGTGTTCCTTCTTCCGAGGGGACTCAGTTTATTTTTGGGGCTTCGTGCAGTTTCTTGTGATGTTTCTCAAAACTACATTTTCATGAACCCTCGTCCAGTCACTGATTCGGAAGGGTCGATGGACCACCATCGATGGACCACCCCAGAACCGCCCTTCAGAAAGACCTGTTGGATCATCTGGAGGAAGAGCACCAACCCAATGCTGCTTCTATAGACATGTTCAACCGTCCCACCCTGCAGGGTGGCCACGCGATCTCTTCCCATTCAATCAGTGATTGGAGTACCATGCAAATTAGCTCATATCAGCTTCCCACGTGCCTTCTCACTTGAGGGTTATCTTCACTCTGATTCACGTCTCAACTGGACACTTGCATACAGAGTTGTGTGGTCCTTTGTACATTTGTGCCAGAGCCACCGATCGAACTCCATCCAGTTTGGAGCCAAGACCGCCCATGGTTTCGTTGACCGAACCTTCACACTGGGACCCTGGAAGAGGGGAATGGGGCCATGCCATCCATTTCCATGGTCTTTTTGAGGGGGCCCTTTCGATGGTCTTTCCACTTCCACTTCCGGATGGAGGCGAGAAACACCCTTCACCGGTTCTTCTCACCGGGCAGAACGCGAACGCCAGGTGAAGCGTGTGGCCTTCAGTCTGGCATCCCGAACGACCTCTTCGGCGGTGGCGGAACGGGCGGGTTCCGTGGAGGTTTTCCCCCAAAGCGGTGGACAACGTGTGCTGCTTCGAAGAGGGGGTTTCCCAACCACGTTGAAGAAGACCATGTATATCAACAAGAAAGAGGAACAAACACCCTCACTTCAGTGTTTCAGAAGGACAATTGCAAGCTTCAAGCGAGCTTGCCGTGTTCCAAAGGGCGACTTGCTCACCTCACGGGTAGCGACTTCACCGATGAGGTCGAGATGGCGACATGCTGGCGGCGGCCTGCTCGACGGGGACTGTGCGACCGGGGGAAGTGGGTGTTTCTTCTTTTTGAAGGGGAAGGGGGAAGTGGGTGGGAGGTGCAAGGGCTCCTGGCATCGCTACGAACGGAGCGATCGGACGCTACGTTCGGCTCTCCTGGCCTTCCTACGAACGGAGCAAGAAGCTACGTTCGGGGCTGGTGTTCTAAAACCGCCTCCACCTGGTGTTCTGAACCAGGTCCCTTTGGATGGCGAAAAAGGGGAGCCATGTTCGGCCCATGTGACCGTGGACATGCTGAAGTGACCATTTCTTCGCTTGTGGAATGAAGACTTCCCAGAAAGAACTGATCCGTTCAGATCATCCGGCCTGGTCAAGCAGTTAGCAGCTCTTCAGACATGTTTGAAAGGAGCGTGCTGATTTACTCTGGCTTCAAGTCCATGGAGAAGCCAACCATAAGGCAAAAGCTGAGCGCCTCGGCTGCAGCTTGGGGCGCCTGCGCTGGCAGCGTTGGGATACGAGTATTGGGCCAGGCAGGCGGCCACTCTTGGGACATTGGTGCCAACCAGTCCTGATTGCACCTGCTGGTTGGACAGATTAATGCAATTGGTGTGGAATCCTTTTGCTTCTTTCGTCAATGAGCAGGCGTGGGCCGTAGCGAATTCAATGACTTACGGACTCCAGAAGCTCCTTTTTGGGATCGGAGAATTGCAGAATCCTGTGAAGGTTGCCATTCGGAATTATAGGGTGAATTTCATTATATATAGGGAGATCCCCAAATGGGTAGACTGGTCTGTTTTCCTTCTTCCAGGGGGTCGTTACCTGGGAGGTCTCCCTATTTGAGCTACACACCTCTTACAGTTAGGCTAATCCATTTTCCCGGCTTGGTGGATGCGCTCTTTCCTTTGACCAAGGGCTGGTCTTGGCCACTCACATGGAACGACTGAACTTCCTGGTACCATTTCTGTTGTTCATGCAACATCCTCCGACACCAGCTAAGAATAGCCTTAGGAGGTTGTTGCCAGGGACACCGGTAGGACGTGCCGTGGTTCCGCGAACCGGAACGCGTGGCGCGCAGGCGGGCACACGGACTGTGTCTTCGACGTGGCTTGGGGAACCGACTCTAGGAGCAATGGAGCCCTGTTGGTGAGGCACTCAGTGAAAGTTTCAATGGAATGGCAGGTTGGGGAGTAGCAACGGCTAGCGATCCGACTTCAGTCTCACCAGACGACGTCTTTGGCTCGCCGAAAGACTCATCCACACGTCCTTGCGACGACGTCTTTGGCGACCAGCCAGTGACGGGTGGTTCCCAGGTCTCTGCCTCGCACGACAAATCCGTGAGATTTTGGAAGGAGGTGCTGTGAGTGCCGGGCCGCGGATGCCGGGCCCTCTCCGCGGCCCGTCGTGCCTGTGGGCGAAGGAAGGATTTCGGCTGAGATCAGTGTCATGTGAGATGGCAGCTGCAAAAGGGAACCACAGGAACCCACAGGACACATATAGGTGGAAATAACATGAAATAACCTCTACAGAACTATTTGAGTTCAGGACCCCGAATTTCCCTGAATTTCTGTTATCACGACACCATATTCTTTGCTGATGTTTGAGATTACTTGAGTTGAGGAGCACCGAGCTCTACAGCTGACGACCAGTTTGGAAGGAACTTCCAGTGGACACCCCACCTCTGTTTAGCCAGCCTTCGCACCAAACTCGATTGTCCATCCGACAATGCGGAGCTGCGGCTGAAGGGCCATTGGTAGCCGGTGATTCATCAAACAGTCAGACTCATAGATGGACATGGTGCAGACCGGCTGCCCCCTGTGCTGGTAGACCTGTTAGGGGGGGGCCTGCTCCAAAAATTCTCTGCGGAGACAAACCTTACCGGACCGGCAGAGGAAAAGCTCCGTTGTTGCGGTCGAATCTGTGGAAGGTTCTTTCCCATCATCCGCAATTCCGCGGAACTCCTGGTTCTACTAGAGGTATTTGGCTTTGGGCCAAAAATAAGGTCCAGGGGGACCCTTCAGGGTTCGGTTGCCTTTTCCATTTACCAATGGGCTGTACCCTATTCTTGAGCCTGTAGGCATTTGAAGGGCGTTGGATGCGTTGGTACATTTGAGGTAAAAGATCCAGCACCATTCAAGCTCTTGTCAAACCACATTGTTGAACCCTATTTGTAATTACCTGAGGTATCTCTTGGGTGTCCCTCGTGGTGCCAAATTTTATCCATACGTCCGAACACATAACTCCCAGTGTACACCGATGCTCTGAGTGATCAGCGATTTCCTTCAGTGAACTGATCAGCGATGCCTCTTTCAGAACTGCTGGAGAGTCACATCTCTCGGATCCTTTCAATCACCGAAGGCTTCTTCAGATGGCGGGAGGGCTTGTTTTTGAAGAAGCTTTGTCTTTTTCTTTTCTTCCAAGACTTGGTCGGAAGGAAGGGTTGGTCGAACCTGGCAGTTGACCAGTTGTCTCAGATTTTGACCATATATAGCTTTTCGCATCAAACATATAGATCACACTCCAAACGATGCCCACGATAAAATACTCTCCCAAACGAGGGTCGCTGTTCAATTGAAGTGCTCTCAACCGCTCGAACCATGTTGCTTTCAGCAACATCAGAAGTACATTCCCACCACAACTTGCGATGTCTCACCCGACGCATGTGGAGTTCACACTCCTCCACCGTTTGGGCCAGAGGTGAAATTTTGGGCTCAAACCGCGAATCCCCCCGCTGAGACCGGCGTGTTTTTTTGGGACCGCCCACGACCGCGGCCACCGAGAACTCGGCTGGGCCGCGATGGAGCTGCCATCGGCGCCCGTTTTGGGCTTCAAGGAGGCGCTGGTGGGGCTGAAGGCGCGGAGGAAGACCAGTGGGCTGGAATGAAGTGGACTAAGAGAACTATGGAAGCACTAATTGAGGGACCTTCAAGTTTTGGAGAGGAACTTCATGATTGGTCATTTCTGTTTCCGATTTGTCAGTCCACCCCACTGCGCAGCACTTCGTGCCCAAAGAAGGACCTTTTCTTCGCCACACCGGTGACCGTCCCACACCGGTCCGACCGGCTCCAGGCCTCGGAGCTGCAGAAGGGCGTCGCGGAGCGCTCCAAGGCCGGCGGCATCTGAGCGCTTCGAACCGTCCGTGACGGGGAGGGACCTCGGGAGAGGGGTCGACGGGTCGGGAGAGGGGTCGCTCCTTTTCTGGTTTTGGGGGGCGGCCTTGAGCGGTGTTTGGCTCATTCAGTTGATGGGATGATGACCGTGTCTTTGATACTTACTTTCTTTTTTTTCAGATTTATGCTCCTCTTATAGTCCGAGCTCAGAAACAACATCAACTAAACGCATCTTTCGCGGCGTTGCGGATGCGTTGCCGTCAGCGGCCCCTTTTTTTGCGGAGAGAGGATGGTTGGTTTCAATGAGAGGTCCATGGATGGTTTTAAGATCACGCGCAGTGACGCAGTGCAGGCAGTTGATTTGGAGAAATGACTTGGGGCAATCACAGACCTTTCCTATGTCATTGAAGATCACATCTCCTGGGGAAGAGCAACATTTGATCATCTCTTCGTTTTCAATGATCTCTCCGTTGTGCCCAAGACTCTACCTCGGTCCCACTTCGGTGCACATTCCAAGTTCATGCAGGGCAAAGTTGAAACCGGAATGTCTCGGTGAAGGACTCAGTCTCTTTGTTTCCAACAAAAATCCTTGCCTCGCCAATACGGTAGCAGTTCTCCCAGACACCCCAGACACCCCTGAAACACTGAAATCCCCTCCAACACTGAAATCCGTCTCTCCTTCCCGGGAAAAACACGCGCACACGCACAGTGCTGCGTGCTGCGAAGCTGCATCCATCTCCCACATTCACATCCGTAGTCTTGATGCTGAATAGCACAAACACCCAATGTCACCAGACTGACTACAGTATAGTGATGATGATCTTGAAGACTGGATTCGAATGCTCACCTTGCGGTGATGCAAGACTGCAGACACACTCGTGATGTTCTATATATAGCTTATATCTACATGCAAGCTGGTGATCTTCATGGTCCATTGGTCTTCCAACCACACACCTCCCATCCATTTCGTTGCTTTGCAGGGCCCCCTGGTGTCCGATTCAGGCGATTCCATTTCAGGCGCCCGGACGTCGTGGAACGCCGGTGATCGTAGAACGTGACGGTCTCCCGGCCTCCACCAGTGGAGTCTACATGCGGAATCTTCAGACTGCTTCACATGCAGCGCTTCAAAGGGGAAGAAGGCCTTTTGACGAAATCCAGCTGGTTCACAGGATGGCACATGATGGCACGACTCCAATAATGATAATGATTGAAGACGAGGTAAGAGTTGTAAATCTCATAGGAACACACCTCCGATAACCCTCCAAAAGGTTTCCATCAGCTGTGCCATAGCAAAAACAGTTCCTGTGGGAATACACCCCCATAGTTTTAGAGTGTTCTTCCACTATCCGGCATGCTCCTTGGTATATCCTTATTTGGTTGTTTTGAAAAAAAAGACATCGTTCGGCAGGCGGCGGACATTTCTGTAGTGCGGCACAAACTTGTGGTAAACCGATGGGAGAGATGACCACACAACGAACAAACGAACCGGCGCGGCGCCGAAGTGGCGCGACGCCGCAGTTTCCATGACACGACGCTTTCTGCCGACGCTTCAAAAGCGACATGACGTTTTGGGTCCAAAGTGGCAGGCAAACAAACATGAAGCAGCGGTTTTCTCAGAAAGCGACTAAACAATCAAGCGACAGACATCTGTAGAGTTTTGCAAAAAGACAATTCCAAATACTCTGGTGTCCTAGGTATGCTTTGGTATGGCTGTGGGGCAATTCCAGACACCCCAAAAGCATGGCATGCTAAGATCCCTGTCGGTGTCTGGGGGACATCAGGCGATGCAGTGAAGCTGGTGTCTATGGGCGGCTTGGCTCGAAAGGGAGGTTGAACGAGGATGAAAGTTACAAGTAGTTCGAAGGTAAGTGGCCCTGGAGGTCTTTGGAACGAGACAAGAAGCAAATCGAATCCAAGACTCTAGACACCCCGTTCATTCTTTTTGACCCCCCTTTGTGCATATTTGCAGATGTTTTTTGTGTGTGTCAAGGTGAAAGAGTTCCAGACTCTCTTAGTCGTATACAGGCCTTTTGTCTTTAGTCTTGATTCTTCATACTCAGGTCAAGAAGCATACTAGCTATCCCCGGTTCCGTGTGGAATTTAGGTCTCATGCATCCAGTAATCCTCATCCCAGAAAGCTGGACCTTTGCATGTTCTTTCCGTGAGTGGTCTCGATGTACCTCCTTGGCTGCTTTGCGCTTGGAACAGTTCTAGGTGCCTTGGTGGGCACTGGCCTCCGCAGCCGAGCCCTCCGTGCCGCGCGGGCGCAGCGCGCGCAGCGCGCGCGGGTGCCGCGGAGACTGTTTGGCAACATGGAACAACTGAATCCGCTGCCCAGCTGCATTTCTGCTGGTGGGTGGCTCTGAAGACGGGAAAGGAGGCCACAGGCGTTCCAAGAGATGATCTGTTGGATTCTTGGGCTTTCTGCCACAACCCTGAAGATTCGTCTTTACCTTTTTGGCATCCTTTGGCCCCTCAGCCTTGCGACCTGGAAAGACGCGAAGAGGATCCACCTTTCTTGGGCTTTTGTAGGAGAAAATCTCAAGGTTTGGTGGGAAAGTGCTGCGGTTGGACTCGGATGCTTTAGACGATGACAAAAAGATCTGAACATGCAGAAAATACCACCCTTTCAATCCCCTTTCACACCCTTTCACGCCTTCCTTCGACACCTTTGTCATGCCAAAGCTGGATTAATGCATCTGAGGTTCTACGAGGCCCCCGAGAAGCAGACTCAGAAGCGCTATGAGCCACAAGTTCAGGCCAAAGGGGCTGCGTTTTGTGATGTTTCGTTTTCTGTTCAGATCTCATTTGGAATCCTGAATGGAGCACGCCACACCCAGGTGTGGAGGATCTCATGGTAAAAGCCCCATGTATCAGCTTCAGACACCAGGTCATGATCCAGATAGCCTGGAAGATGAGCGCAAAACTGCAAGTCCGTTGCCTGCTCTTTCGCCTGCGCCGAGCCCGCGCGCTCTAGGCCATCAACGCGCTCGAGGAGACCATGAAAGCGAAGTCCGACGACCAGCTTCGTGCCCGTCCTCGAAGAAAGCGGCCCATACCAGTCACAAGACGGGAGGGGTGCGATCCATGGAGGTTAGGGGTGCCCAGCTACTCCCACTCACTGGATGGGACCAAACACCACCCAACTCCATGTGACTCCTCTCCCCACCACTCCACCCGGTCTCCCGGGAGACCCCGAGACCGGTGTGAATGGTTCGACCCGCGTTGGTCGCGAGCGCCGTGGGTGCCAAGTGATCTGACGATGCTCTGATGTTGGGACTTCAGGTGCTCTGACGGCGGACCTGCAGCAGCGTGCGCAGAGTGGGACGCCCTTGGAGGAGCTTTTGCCCGAGGCCTTTGCGCTGGTGCGTGAGGCGAGTGGGGTGGACACAAAAGGGTGGAGAAGCAACAACTCTCCAGGGAACTGGGGTTTCAAATTTCAAGGTGCTTTTTGTATTTTTTTCGTTGATTTTGACGGTTCCTAGCCAACCTGACTGGCAAAACGGTCAGCTTTACACATCACATATATAGTCACGTGATGTAGTGATGTTAGGCGATGTTGAGAGTGAGTTCTTGGTTTTCTGGACAAATCTCTCTCCCCAACCATTTCCGCCCTGGTTGGCCGTTGAATCACAAAGGCCTTTCCGCCGGCCGTTGGCGGTTGGCCGTTTCGCATCGGCTCAGGGCTCCACTCGTGTGTTGGGCTTGCGCCACTTTGATGTGCAGCTCATGGGAGGCGAAGCGGGGTGGAAAGCGTGGTGAACCGGGTGGTCGGGATTTCGGGTCTCGGAAGCGATTGGAAGGGAGAAGATGACCATCTTTTAAATAACATTAAGCAGCCACTAACTATATAACTCAAATCAACTATTAATACAAAAAGAAAGTGGACACCTCTTCACGTTTTGGAGGTAAACTTCAGGAACGAAGCAGCGAAACGGATTCTCGTGGAACGAACAGCCCCCACGAACCGAAACACTTGAAAGTGCTTGTCCAGAAGTAGAGTAGTTTCAACCAGAAGACCATGCCATAGGCATAACAATGTAATATACGTTTGTACCATTTTCGTACACAAAATCAAGTTGTATCGTCCGGTACACCAACGCCGGACCGATCGCTGGGTGCCTCCCACCCCTTTTTTCAGGGGATCTCCATCCTCCGTTCCTTTGTTCGGCCGAGCCGATGACTGACTCCGCCCGCACCGCAGGCATTGCGCTCCACGAAGGCAACATCGCGGAAATGGGCACCGGCGAGGCCTGGCCACGTGCCGTTTGGGCCGACGTTTTGTTCGACTCCGCAGCTGCGGCAAAAAGCACGTCCCGGGCGCCGTTCGACTCCCTGGCGAAGTGGGATGTTTGGGTGCTCAGCAATTCATGTCGTCCTGACGACGTCTAGGAATTGGATCCACGTCTCGGATGCCAGGGTAAGACCCTTGTGGCCATCTTGGCAGCCTTTCTGAACGCTCTCAGCGGGAAGGCGCGCAGGTTCCGAGAAGCGCGAGGAACCGGAGCCGTTCGTCCTGAGCGTTTCTGGGCCGGTTCTTCGCGGGGCACTGGTGTGATCTGGTGTGTAGAAGAGAAGGAACGGGATCTGTGGATTTTCAGGAATTGCAGGCGTCCGTCAGTTGCCACCATCAGAATCATCATCGCTTATGAAGAAATCACACTTACTTACTGCTCAACCTATAGAGATGGTCAGTTTGTCTAGCCCTTCGGCTCTCGATTTGACGGTCATGCGCACACGTGAGGGTGTCCACGTGGTCACGGTGAACGACTACTTGGCACGGCGCGATGCGGAATGGGTGGGACAGCCCTTGCGCTTTTTGGGCATGACCGTGGGTGTGGTTCAGTACCTGGGCTGCAGGAACAAGCAGAAATCCATCTTTTTTTGCTGGTGTTGCAGGTCGAGGGGGCGGCCAAGACGAATGGGGATGGTGTGTGGGTGGATGCACTCATAGGGTTTCTCCAAATGGAGCCGTGAGAAGAGGGCATAGATGGCATATCACATCCAGCTGGGAAGTGGAAGTTGGTCCGGATCCCTTTCTTCTCTCAAATGCCAAAAAGGGTGACCTCCTGGTCGGTTTCCGGTTCGGAGGTGGAAGGCCGAGGTCGCCGAGGTCGGGGCGACCGACCGACCGCCTGAGGAATGGAATGCCACCGGATCAAAAGAAGAAGGCCTATCGCAATGACGTGACCTACGTCACCAACAGCCATCAGCCTGCAAGAGAGGGAGAGAGAGGGGAAGCTGTGACCGGATGCGGGGGGTTTCAGTGCCCAGTTGGGGAAGGTCTTAGCGGTCTTAGTGGCTGAATGGGCGAATGGGTATGAACACGAGCACGTTGAAGACCAGTGCGAGGGATTTCCATGTAGATCCAGCTTGTGAATGCTCGTAGAGCCACGGTAGAGATACAAGGAAAGGAAACAGCTCCAAAGGAGGTTGCTTTCCTGAAAGGCCACTTCTTGGTCCTGGTTCAAACCACACAGATGAACACAGATGAATTGGGGAGCCCCAAAAGATTCAATTGGTCACACTATTTGTACCGAAGATGCAAAATCAGGTTTGGTGCTCAACCAATGGGTTTTACAGCATTGCGCAGCTCTCTCCAGATAAAGTCTAGATCCTTTCAGCCGGTTGAAGAGCTTTTTCCAAACTCCCAGCTCCTAGCTTCATCCTCTACATTTCGGATCATCTTTATAGGACTTGATGGATACCCCTCAGACAGAATCAGCCAAATTTGGAATCCTTCCACTCTGAGCTTTCTTCTTCTTCTTCTTCCGCCCTGGACCTTTGAAGAACGAACACCCTGGGCATCGACCAGGTGAGCTCGGCTTCGATTACTTGCGCGACCAGATGGCGCCCTCCCCCTCCGAGCTGGCGCTGCGCGAGCAGACGCCCTTCAACTTCGCGGTGGTCGATGAGGCCGAAAGGAGACAGAAGTAGACGGCAGGATCAAAGAGGGGGGGCGCCACAAGGTGGTGAAGAGAAAAACAAGCTGGCTTTCCTCACTGTTAGATGCACATGATAGGGTTTTAAACTCGACTCTATAACTAGAGAGGCATCTCTCCTTTCACAGGCTTTTCATGCCCGGATTTCTTTCCGCAGAGTTTTCTTCTTTCCTGCATTTCGCCCGTGTCGCGCTGCGCCACGTGCGACTCCTCACGTGTGCAGCGCTGCAGGTGGACTCGATCCTCATTGATGAGGCTTGGCTCGGCCGCAGGTTGAGACGTGACATGAGGGAAGATCCAAATCGGATGAAGTCGGTAGAAAAGGAAGGTCATGTCCCAAAAGCCCCAAACACAGGTAGTTACAGCCCCCCTCCCCAAAATCCATCCAATCCTTTTCTTGAAGAAACGTGTGTTCTAGTCACAAGTGGCCTTGTAGACCTTCCTATTCAATGGTTTTTGGTGCTGGAGACCGGAGACCATGTCAGTATTGCTCAAGTCATCCAACAAATAGCAACTTAACTTATATTTATAGTTCGGTGTTTTTCTCTCAACCAACCTTGTTTCCAGATCAAGTGGGGCAAAGTGCTCAGGTCTCTGTGGTGAAAACACCTACCAGCCACAGGCGCGAACACCTTTGATCATCTCCGGCGTGGCGGATAACACACCAACCAAGTACAAGGCGACCGGGGGCCGGGCCTTGGAATTGGAGAGGGGTGATGGGTTTCAGTGGAATGAACTCTCAAGCCATTCCCTCATCAAGCTGCGCGTTGGGTGAAAGGTGTGTGTTGGTCTCAGAAGATAGACCAGACCAACACTGCTAAGAAGTCTGAGACACCCCAACCAATTTCGGCGCTCACCCACACAACCACCCCCGTACATGTACACACTCCTTCCAACAGTACCTACATCATACCTCGTGTGGACGTGGGTCAACATCCCCTCAACAATGCCTCCCCCAAACCGGCTGGGTTCAACATGCCAGTTTCACTCTGGTGACCTCACCATCCACTTGGCCCAGGTGGCTCAGGAGGTGGTGCGTGCGTTGAAGCCGGAGGCGCGGGCCTTCTCCCAATGGGGTGGACATCGCAAGGCGTGACCAGGTGGGTAGAACTCTCTGGATTTTGAAGGGTTCGGGTCTACACCAGCCCACACAGAAGAAAACCAGAGTGAGGAACACAGGTACATACAATATATAGACATAAGTACTATGTTGGTGATCATCTGATCATTCCATTTACGACCATCAGTAGAAGGAGTAAATGCAACACCCCTGATTTGCTCATTCAACCTGAGACCATTGACTGCGGTGGTGTGGTTCTGGCCGAAGATGTTGGAACCCGTGGAGATAGGCGAGATAGGGCTTTTGTTCGAGAAGGTCCGGAAGTGAGAGGGAAAAACAGGTCAGATGTCCCAAAACCTCCCTCTTCCATGTCTTTCATCTTGGTATGGCATCAACTGGGAGTGGTCCCCCCTGGTTTTTCTAGGGAAACTTAAGCACCTTCATGGAATCCTCAGGGGCCATTTTTTTCCGATGCCTGGGGCGTTTTTGGTCAGCCAGACTCTGAAATGAAGCCGCCAGGTGCACTACACCGTTGATGAGAAGCAGCGTCAGTGCGTGCTCATCGAGGCCAACCTGGTTCCGGGAAAAGTGGCCGGCTTGGTCTTCGGAAGCTGATCGAAAGAGCTCGAAAGCCAGGAGTCCAGAAAGCCAGGTATCCATTGATGGGCTCCATGTGAGTCTGATTTTGGGGCAGATCAAGATATATATGGTGTTGGAGGAGCTGTCTTTCAGCTGCTTCAGTCCGTTTCACATTCAGAAGGGATTTGATGTGTCTCAGAAAAGACATCTTCTGGTCATCCGATCGAAAGCAGAGAACAGTGTATTTGATCTCGCCTGCACCAGGCATCGGCTCTCGGGGGCTGCAACATAAGCCGATCTGAGGTGATGGGTGTCATTTTTTTGCACCGATACTGTCAGACCAAACAACTCCTTCAACCCGACAAGATAGTGTGCTTTTGGAGGTTAGATTCTATTGGAAGAAATACAGGTGGATTTCAGGTTTTGGATTGCCCAGGTCCCAAACCTTCCAAACTTGGTGCATCAAAACATAATACCGTACTGTATCTCTTCCCCCGGTCTCGCGCGACACGAAATCTGCACCGCACTGACTGGGCGCCGCTGAGAAGCTCGCTCCAGGGCGGAGTGGAAGCGGCCGAGAAGCTCCTGGGGAAGGATGACCTCTTTGATCCTGAGGACGGCACTGGACATTCAGCTGCCATGGGCTGAAGCCAGTGAGGGTGAAGTGATGAGGGTGGTGCTGCCCTGCTGAAGGCTGTGGTGCAGTGACCTTTTGTGGGGTTCCAAAGGTTTGGGGGGTGTTTTGGCAAATGGTTCAAGGGGATGAGGCACATCAGGGATGCATAAATTGACGCAGTCAAGTATATTCAAGTATCACTTCCTTCTTTTGAAACCCAGTCTAGAAAAGAGCAGTGTCTATGGTTCAGGCACGTGATGGACAAGCTTCAAACCATTCAAATCCCATGTCTGGGGAAAGAACTATCCAACATCATGCGGATCAGCACTTGGGTCAACCTCTGTCGCTCGCATGAACATCGACGTATGGTGTTCCGATAGCTCGCCCTTAGAGTGTTTCTGGGATGGCCTCGTTTGAGGCGGTTGTAGTATTGGCTGAAGAGGGACAGAAGGATGGCTTGAAAAGGAACCAGCTTTTTGTGACCATTTTAAAAACCTATAGCAACATGATCACAGTCATGGCGCAGACAAGATCCAGCTAGACCGCATTCCCGTTCCGCGTTCCACGACGTCTTCAACGGTTTTGATCAATCTGAACGAACGAGGCGCTGGCCGAGCATGGCCAGCATGGCATTCTGTCCACGGATTATCCAAGGCTCGAAGCCAAACCTTTTTTCACAGATGCGAGGAATCTTTGGCTGTTTCCTAAGCTTTCTGCCGCCTAAGCAAGCAATCGTGTCATCCTGAAGGCGAGGAGAAAGCAGAACACCCTGCAGAATGCCCCCAACAAGAACTCGTGAGAGTCCAGCTTGGGTTCTTAGTAGTCAAGAACTGGACTTCAACCAGGTGACTTCAGCTCTGAGCATTTGGGACCGGGGTCGCATGCAAAGACCACCAACACCAGGACCCCTGGTTCCCCTTTGTCACCAACGCTCTGAATGCCAAAGAGCTCTACATCAAAGACAAGGCACGTTGGACATCGAAGCTTCGCATGTCCAAGGGCATCGTATTAGAAAGGATGGTGGAGCTGGAGCAGATGGAGAAGGACTGTAGAAAGGTTGTAGATGGGAAGGATAAGAAGCAAGCATGTGTGCATTTCCCCGTTCCCCAACACCTAGAGACCCACCCCCAAATTCACCGGCTTCCCATGAATCCTGAGCAAAAAACATGTCCAACAACACAGCCCGGATGGTCCGACCTTAATGGGTCTTTTCTCATGGGTCGTTTAAGTGGGTTGCTCCCCATCTTGGCAGCTCTTCATTCCGGCTCCTTCAAAAAGGCCTACATCGTGAAGCGTGGCGAGGTCATGTGGCGCTCCCAGAGGGTCGCGGACGGTCCACCCAGTCCCAAAGGGATCTTACTGAGTCTATACCGCTAATGATGATTTCTGAAGGGTCTTCCTGGTGAATGGCCAGCATGGTGGGATTGATTGTGCGGATTGCTTCCCTTTTCTGTTGCATTTCTGTCTTTTTTTGGCAGGGGACACCTGGTCCGTCAGCCCTGCACATGGACACCGCCCTGCACCTTCTGAGGATCGTGGATGAGTTCACAGGCCGTGTCATGGAGGGCCGACGCTGGAGCAATGGTCTGCACCAGGCAGGGCAACCGTCTTGAGGCTCTTTGGTCGATGAAGCGATGTTCCTCAGACATGGAGCACCTGGAAGGTCAAGCTATGAGTCGACACACGGTCGACCAGCACTCCAGGTTTTGACCCATCCCACATGGCAACCAATGAGTTGAGGACATGCTCATCATCCAAGCGCTTGCAATTTGTTTGCACTTGAAAACTCTGGAGGATACGCGGATGTCGTCGAACATCAAGTCCCCCAACACATCCCTTAGGTTCGTTCCCATCTGGTTTGCTGAAGTCAGCTATCCCCTCAAGCCTCCCTCGCTTCCACTTGGTGCACATCCTTCTGAACTTCGGAGGGAGCACTTGAGTCCTACCAAAAACCCTTCACGGCAGGTGGGGACTGCCCGAACCACGACGTCCGTTTTCAGTTCCTTCTTGCAAGCTCCCCGGCCTGCATCCCCCCAAGCAGAAATGTCTTGTGTCGCTTTGGTTCGAGGCCATTGAGGCCAAGGAGAATGTGCAGATCCAGGCTGAGTCCGTGACCTTGGCCAGTGCGGAAGCCTAACCAAAGATGCCAAGTCACGCTGGTTCACTGGTTCGCTTTTTGTGTGCGCGTTGTGCTAATTACATGAGTACGACCTGTAACTCCAACTACTTAGGGAGAGTCTTTTGAGAAAGCACCCTTACCCTGCCGAAAGCATCCTGTTCGTTTCGCCAACCACGCCTTTGTCCCATTTGTGCACTGATCACTGTCTGCTGGTGAGGCATTTCCTACCAAAGCCTTTTCCGTCTCTTTGACAAGCAGCTCAGATGCATGAGTCCAGGAAAAGGGGGCCTCAGGACTTCACTAGAAACAACGGGGTGACGACCTAACTGCCCTTGTTGGTGTTCCTCTCCAATTGAGACCTTTTAAGGGTCCAAGTTGTTGAATATGAACCAATTGAGAATTGTTGAAAGTTGAAGTAGTTGCCAGTGGATCCTGACATCTTTGACTGGCACTCTTTCAAGTACATAGCCACGGTTGTTTGTGTGATACCTATACGCCATCTGCTGAGGGAGAGAATGGGAATGCAAGTGCCTGATCAATGGTTTGAACAATGTGCTACAGTCTTTCTTCAGTTTGTGAGGTTTGAATACCAGGCAGTGAATGGTGAAGCAAGCACCCCTAACATCTAAACAAACATAGCACGGATCCATGGATCGCCCCCTTTGCAGGAGACTCCACTTCTGGGAAGTCTGTTTTTCAGTTGATTGCCCACCGTGTGTTTCAATGAACTCGTTCAATTCAGTTGGTAATCATATTTCGTCATGACCAGTCAGGTCAGTTTCATGTATATATATATAGTCGGTTTGTATTCAATTCAGCTCATGAGTTGTGGTCGTTGATTCCGCCCAGCCAAATCAAGAACACCGTCCATGGCCGCCACGACCCGTGGACATCATCAGCCCTGAGAACACCGAAGAAGCTCCAAATTCCTCCGCTCTTGGGGCACTGGACTTGACCACCTTGAGTCATCACTGGCTTCCTGGAGAAGGCCAGCCTACACATTATGCTAACATGCTGAACTGCAGCGATGGGTCTGGAAATGAAGCGATCGGGTACAATGAAATGATGGGCGCTTTGGTGGCAGTAGTAGAATTCTACAGAGGGTGAATTCCCGGCTTTGAACGTTTTCTTTAGGATCAAGTTCCGTCAAATCACTTGCAGGATGTGGTAAACCCTTGAGCCAAAGTGCAGAGGGGCCGCACATGGCATTTTTGCAGGTCTCGACTGTTTGCATAGTGACAAAGATTTGGTGGCCGAAGGCTTGTCGATTCCTGTCGACCCATCAGCTTCGAAGCCGGAATGAGAAGTGCTGGCAAGTGAGTTCATATGGTCGATGTTGCAACCTGGCCGGAGTTGTGTCGGACGGATATGCACATCCATCCGGTTACCGGCATGTGCATATTTGTGGACGTGTTTTTAAAGTGCATCGCTTGGTCGCCTTTGCTTTCTTGGGACCTCCACCGTCAGAGCTTGCATGGCAGGTGCACCACCGCGATGGCAACTCATCCAACAACCGCCTCGACAACTTGGAATACGTCACTCCCCGCCAGAATGTGCGTTATTCACATGCCAAAGGGTCAAGACAGAGTAGTGGTCCTGCGCAGTCAAAGCCAGTGATGTGGCGAGCTGTGGGGTCCGAAGGCTGGACCACCTCGCCTTCTATGACACACGCAGCAGAACAGGTCGGGATGGACACCTCTACTGTTTCGCGCGCTTCCCGGCAAGGCAGACCTGCAAAGGGTTTCGAGTTTCAACTCGCTGAATCTACAGAAAGCACAGCCTTTGTGGGAGAGGAGTGGCTACAAATGTATGATCCAATGTCGGGCACTGCTGTACCTGGAAGGATGGTGAGCTCATTTGGCCGAATACGATCTCAAAATGGTCGGATATCACAGGGGCACAAGCTGAAGGAAGGTTATTTCCAGACACAGCTGGCGTTAACTTGGAGAAGACGCTCAGAATCTGTGCATCGGCTTGTGGCAGTTGCGTTTTTGGGGCGACCTGCAGGCTTTGAGCGCACCCAAGTGAATCACAAAGACGGTGATAAGGGGAATAATGCAGTCGAAAACCTGGAATATGTCACCCCGGCCGAAAACAGTGCGCATTATCACGCAAACTTGCGCAGAAGTTCTTGCAGGTCAGATTGCAAGCCGGTGGAGAGCAGGCTTGAGGGCAGCAATAATGAATGGCAATTCCATCCTTCCATAAAGAGCGCTGCCAGACTTCTTCGGGTGCATGCTGGCAACATTAGCCCTTGTACCAAAGGGATCAGAAGACACACGGGCGGATATGAATTCAGGCTGTCGGCAAGGCAGCAAGCAGCCGACTTTTATGTTGGTGAAGAGTGGCGCAAAGTAGATATTGAAGCTCATTTGTGTGAGAGAGCGTGGCGAAAATGAACAATTTGCCTGCGGTAGTGTAAGCCAGGTGCCTGTTTCCCAAAACCTCCTTCCATTTTCTTGTTCTTTTTGAAGGTGCTTACTCAAAAGCGAATGAGCGTTGTTTGTTGCACTTTGTCTCTAGGGCCGCTAGGGTCCCCTTCGCGGGAACCACACGACATGCTCTCTCAGTTTTTCGCTAGCGACAAAAAAAATATATTGTGAAGACAAAGGACCATGGCATATGAAGTCTTGGTGCACTCCAGTGTGATTGGTTTGCTTAGCAATCACATTGTTCTTGCACAAAAACAGCTTGAATTCCCAAGTTAACCCTTTGCTTATTTAGTTATTTCCAGGTAATATATTCTATGTATGATTAACCGAACCCTTTTCCCAACAAACTCCTCCAAGTCTCAATTGTGTTTGCCTCTTGCTGAAATCATTTTTGTTATGCATACTATGTTTTTTTCTTATTCCATTTGCACATATCTTCTCGAAGATGATTGAGAATCAATCAAGAATACACGGAGTTATGCCAAACGCTCAAGGCATGTTTGGCCCCTACCCCTGGCTGGCAAGCATGATCATGCGCACATACTTGAACCCAAGCAATACCCCGTATCTTCTAGATTCTTCTAGCATGTTCCTCGTCCCCTCTTAGTTAGTCTGTTCTATTGACAATGTTACTTGTGTTTTGCGATTCAGATGCCTTGCTTATCATAATACCAATGATTTGTGCCACAATGTTTTTGCCTATTTGAACGGCAAAATCGCCAACGACTATATATTCTAGTTGACATGGGGGCAAATAAAAGGAGCAAGGGATGCAACAAATTCAAGATCAGACTTCGTTAAGGGGAATATGGCATGTTTATTGGTTTTCTCCCTGTAGACTGCCAAAACCAAAAACCAAAACTCTGAGGAGAATCTTTTGTTTCAGCCTGAAACATGATTTTTGGTTTTCATTATTTTGTTGGGGCCATTCATCAAAAAGGAACACATTTTTCTTTATTGTTTTTGAGATGATCTGGCAACCACAAAAAGCAATCACACATGGTGATTTTTGTTTTTGCTTTCTTCTTGTCCAAAAGACAAACAACCAATCTTTGGTGATTCAAAGTTGCATCAAAAACAACAAGTTATATCAGCACAAAATATATATCAACATCAGTCCCAAACACTTAAAGTATCTTAAAACACAACTAATCTTGATCCGAAGGTGTTTCTTTTTTGGGGGTACAATATATGTATAAACATATCATACACATTATAAGGGGACCTTGGTTCATCGCATGTCTGTTGAGACGCCTCGACGTCGCCACTGCAGGCTGAGTGGCATGACGGGTACAGCCTTCACTGAAGCGAAGGAATTTGAGGAGGTCTACAAGTTGAAGACCGTTTGGAGTCTCAGGTTGATTTGGCAAAAAGCCCCGATGACAGGATAACTGGACACGTGTAATAGACCTAATCTCAGGGTGGTTTGGCAAACTGAACAAGTTAGACATGTGGGCAGCTCTGTGGGTGTTCATGGTTTACGAGGTTCCCCCTCTCCAAACTCATGCGGGCCTTGAAAGCCTTGACACAGCAGACACTTCAATACAGAATGTTCACAATTTCAAGCTAACCCTCAGCCTTCACAGGAAACCTGGAGTAGATCAAGGTTCGTACAGGTGTTTAAACGTCAATCGGTTTGATTCATCAAACAAGCATTTTAAGGTTCATGCCTATATATATATACTCGTGACACCGTGACCCCCCAAAAGATAGAACCTGATGGAGCAACAAATGAACATCTCTAGTATTGCGCATGGGAATGCGTTTCCATCGATTTGAGGGCCTCAATCGGTCAGTTAACGTTGGAAGGCCAAGACCATTGCGTTCCGAGGTCGTCGTGCCTCCAAATCTGGTGAGGCGCAGCTGAAAGCCAAATTTCTTCGTGCACGTGGATACGTAGGGCTGCAGTAGTTCCCAGTTCGACATGGACACGAATAACTCGGAACCATGAGCTGGAAATGGGATCCCAGCTGAAGTCTCACTCCGCCGACTCTTCGGTCTGCGAAGCTCTTTCAGCCCGGAGTGACATGTTAGTTATGACATGATCCCGTAGAACGACCATGTTCCTCTACAAAGTGGGTGGTGCCAATCCACTTTCCATGATTCTTTCAGGAAGTGTAGTAAGACTGATGTCATGAGCCAGATGAAGCACTGGGGAACAGCGGCTTTCGGGGTGCCGCAACGACCGGGTGCGACCTCGGGGACCTTCGGACCAGGAAGCGTGCAGACAAGGACGATCAGGTCTATGTGGATGACATCGGCAAGTGGAAGGCACCGGTCAAGTGGAGGATCTGCCTCTTCTCCCCCTGCAGAGTAATATGGGAATGCGAGGAGAAGGTTTTGTACTGAAATGGTCTTCGGCTCATTTTCAAGTTCCAATTGTTTTTGGGCTGGTGGACAAAACTCTGTGATGGTCATCATGGCCTCTGCCTCCATTCTACTTTAACTCAATTCTGACCTTTTTGTGCCACTCAATCCACTGTATAACGTAGCTATGTAACCATATATAACCCCAATGACATGTAGAGAAACAACGTCATTTTTTCAAAGTTCCCTCAACAGCCTCAGGGTTTTCGTTTGGAGGGGTGAGCTAGAGTTGACCGGGGGTTTGGAAAATACCACTGAATGAAGGACTTTACTTTGATAACCCGATTAAGGAGAACATTTGTTGGAGGACCACCAATGCTTGACCGTCCCCGCAGGAAGTCTTTGGAATGTAAAATGATAGAACAGCAGGTAGCACAGCAGGTAGCACTCCTTGGAACAATCATGGAAGTCGAACATGGCTCCTTGGAAGACCTTTCCCTCTACTACTACAAACAGGTGGTTTTCCGCTTCCATGATTTTTAACGTGTCGTATTTGGGTTGATGTCAGCTTGATTGAGCCAAAAAGTGCTTCCGGGTGCTTCATGTCCATTGATTCAAGGAGATTCATTCGTTTACGGCTTTGCATCAACTACTGTCCCAGTCATCGACTCGCTTGGAGAAAAGATGGAGATGTTGTATTCGTTTTGGAATAGAATTCCTCTCATGTCAGATGTTTGGTCTTGAAACACATCAAACTGTATAAAGGCTTTAAGGATCTTCAAGGGTTAATACTGTATTCATCTTTATAAACATACTAAGTGTATGTCATACCTCCTCAGCATGTTGGTTTAGTTGCGACCGTGGCCGATGACGCCAGGCCGTGGCACGCGAGGTGGAGAATGCCCACCGCATTGGGCGACCGGTGCTCATCGGGACCACGAACGTGCCGGCGCCCGGTGGAGGGGAACAGGTGCATTTGCAGGGGGGTTTGGGGAAAACATATCTAACATAGGGGTTGTAGGAATTCATATCATCCATTCATATCACTCATCAACATGTCAGGACAACATCACAGAATTTCATCACATCATATCACCTCATGTATTTTCATCATATGTCCTCATCAAAATCATCAACATCAAAGCATTGTATAACCTCGTTCAATTGTAGGAATATAAATCTAGTCCTAGAAATACTTTATTCCTAAAATCGTCTAAAATCAATCTTGTTAAAGATTGCTTAGTTCATTCATAATATATCATTAATCATCATCATAAATGTTCACCATTGTTGTGTTATATAAATTAAAGTAAGGCAGAAAGGGTGATATGCAACATCAAAATAATGATTGGGGACAGAGTGAGGCATCACAAGACCAACACTTGGGTGGAAGTGCTACAGCCATCATTGAGTAGATACAACAACCAATTGCACAGTAGCACCAAGACAACACCAAATAATCATGCGCACAATCTTGTTAAAGTACTTCAGGTCAGAACAAATCTGATACTGAAGGAAAAAGCGCACAGGAACAAACACTTACGTTCCACAAAAGAACATACCACTCTGACTAGCATTCACCCCCCAACAAAAAACATATTGCCCCAATTTAGCGGCTCTTTTCTTTTTCCAAAAAACATGGCGCCACGGCCGGTGGACGTCCTTCGCGCGTCGGCGCGCCGAGCTCCTGAGGTGGAGAACTCCGAGATCATCGCCGAGCTCCTGGACGCCTTGGGTGTGTCCGGCGCACCCGGCACCAGACCCGACCGCGCTCGGAATGACGGAGGTTCCGGTGGTTCCGGTGGTTCCGGTGAACACCACCGCCACGGCACGTGTGGCTGGGATGCACAGGGAACTTGATGGTTTCTTGAGAATCTGGATGGGGTCCACAGATTTGATCTTACTTCTCCTGTTCTGAGAAGTTGTTATTGGTTATTAGCTAGGGGTTGGATTTTGGGGGTTGAACGGGACAGGATTCCAGGTCCAGTTGACTGCTAGAATACGGTGTCCCGTCTATCTATCAACCTGTATAGCTTCCTTGTTTGAGGGATGATGAAGCTGAAATGATGTTGCAAGAACTGTACCAACTAAAGAGCTGGTACGATGATTGTGTCTTTGAGGCACGTGGGGACCTTTTGCATTCCAACTAGGGAAAGTTGCCTAGTCTGTTGCGAGGATTTACTGTAGATTTCTTGAACACAGAGGCACAAACGCTGAGTGAGTCTTTGCATAGAGAATCTGAGCCTGTGATTACTGATCGACCGGAACTCGATAAATCCAGTCTTTGCTGTTTGTTGCAGTCCAACCTTGCTTTTACTTTGGAATAGAAGCCTAGGGTTGCTGACCAATGACCATATCACCTGAGTCGATCACACCAGATCCAACAGCTTGGGGCAGAGGCTGTCCGTGGATCGTTTCAACACCAAGCCGTTCACGCCTGGCCCCAACATGACAACCGCACGGTTGGCGACAATTCAGCTCGCTGTTTTGACCACGCAGGGCCTATCAGCTGTTGAACGCGAAGCCGGAGAACGTGGCGCGCGAGACGGAGATCGTGGCATCCAGTGGCCGGAAGTACGTGCGGGGCCGCAAGGGTCGCCTGGGCGGGGGCGGCTGGCGGTTTAAGGGGACTTCGTGTGTGTGACTCTTCTGCAGCACAAGAAAAAGATGGACGAGAATATATTAGACTCAGAAGCTCCACAGTGTTTGGTTTGAGAAGTTGACCAGTTGACGACAAAAACAGACATCGCTCTCTCTCTCTCTCTCGAGTAGAGTGATCTCAATAACAGATCCGGACCGGAGCTTCGGGGAATGAAGAACCATTGGTTTTCTCAATTCTAGAACTGGTTGGGGCTGCAGATCCTTCGACTTCCGCCCGACGTGATGACTCGACAACGCTTTGTTTGGAGTGGAGCACGTCGGTTTCCAGAGTAAAGCAGTTCAAAGGGCCAGAGTGACTTTGTTTGCGAGGCTGGATCATCTTGATCCCAAGCAAGACCTTGTGCCAAGCATACTTTGCAGCACTTGCACATCCCTGCACCACTCCATCACGCGGGAGAGAAATAAAGGACTCCTGCCTCCATAAACTCAATCGGGACCTCCCATGTTCGACCCAAACGAACGACAAAGACCACGGTGTAGCCGAAGAAAACACCAACATAAAGCGTTACCTCGACCCTAGTCATCCTGGGTCATCCAAGTTTCTCAGCGGGCCGTGGCCATGGGTGGGATGTTGAAGTCCAAGGCGGTGACCATTGCCACCAACATGGCTGGTCGAGGTTCGGAGGGTCTTGGTTCGAGGAGAGGCTAGCCTTTCTTTTTGGCTGAAGGGTCTTCAAGAGAGCTTGGCGGCTGGACCAGGTTGAGGAACTTCAAAGAAAGGAAGAAGCTTAGTGTATGTCCGGTGTTTCGCCTTGATTTCTTTGTTCTGGCAGCATTTTGAGGGATGGTATCGAGTAATGAAAACTTAGGAGGATACATTTTTGCAGGATGAAAGGGTATTTCCAAGGTTCTGGCAATTAGTGCTAGACGTTTGCGTTGGGGAGCCTGAGCAACAACGATGTGGAGAAATGTTCTCCAAGAAAACCTGTACAGGAGACCTGGACATCTCTCGTTTGGGTTTATTAATCTCCTGTTGACCGTCTTTTTTTGGCATCAATTGACATCAATTATAGATTGACTCAATTGAGATTGTCCTGTTGTTCCGTCATCACAATGTCAATCGAACAAGAAACAGAAACGCTACGGCCCGAACCACCGCCGCCACCAGCATCACCACCGCCTTTGCCAGAGAGCTCCCCAAACGCATGGCTGTGGTTTGCGCCAAACATAGATCAGATGCACAGTTGACACCATGTAGTCTGTAGCACACCCGGATGAATGGCTTCGCAGAAGTCACGAAAACGATTCCTGGTAAACTCACCGTAACTAATCACCTACTGGCCTACTGTATGATGTTCTGATCCTCTGAGAATCGTGACCTCTCTATTCAGGTGTGCCACTGCCGTGGAGGGGACGGATGGGTAATATCTTCGCCTTCCTTGTCACCTTTTGTGGGCGCGGCCATCAAGCCATCTGCCAGGTACAGACATCCTGCTTGGTGGAAACCCTTCCATGATGGCCAGGCTCCGGCTCCGCGAGGACCGGGCGTTCGCTTCATCGCGTTCCGAACCGCACCGCACCCGTCGGAGGACGAGCGTGACGCCTGGAAGCAGCGCGTGTTTTTTGTGTTCTTTTGCGCCTGGAGGTCAGACCTTCCTGGTAACTGATGATCTTCGATGGGTTGTTTCGGTCTCTGCGCGTTGAAACAGAAACAACCGGATCGATGGACGACGTGGGGAGAGGATCGACAGCGACACCTGAGTCTGCAGGCTTCGACCTGGAACCTAGTGACCTGCACCCAAATCTTCGACCTTAGAGAAGAAGAATAGTCACAGAACCTATAGCGACACCTTATAGAACCTATAGTCACAGAACAAGTTCTCAATTTCATGCTTGTTACTTGTACGCTCTGGAGATGGAAATGTCACGAAGCGTGTTAGATGGATTTTTCAATCAATCTCCTGCATCACCAGTGGTCCAGGCAAAATGGACCAAACATGACCGAATCCGACGGAGTCCGACTGAGTCGAGGAGCTTTACAGCAAGCTTTTCCCGAAGAAATCCTGGGCTTGAAGCTGATCTTCTTCAGCTGTCCTCAATGAGAAAGTGATGACAGATGCGCAAAAAGAACATTTCACACTCCCCTGCTGGTAGTGGCTGGAGATGGCAGCATTCTTTTTGAGTTTGAGCAACTCAGCGCCTCGACCTTTCGCATCTCAGCAGTTTCTGAGGCCATGCCCGAGGAGTTCTATCCGGTGGACCTCACACCTGAACTGGAACAGCAGGTGCTGAAGGGGGAGCGGAGGCCCTCGGTGTTTCTTGGAAAAGAAAGGCACCGAAGGAAGCGGCGCCGAAGGAAGCTACGAATCCTTTTGATCGTTTCAATCTGTTCTTTTCTTTCATTCCCTTTTCCATTGTCTCATTGACTCATGGAGTTGTATGACGCCCCATGAGCATTGGGCTTCAAGTCATCTCGGCGGCACTGTCGCCAGGTCAGCAATGCTGTGTCGCAAACGGTGGAGGCGAGGGAGAGTCACGCAGTGGAAAGGGAAGACCCCCAATAGATTGCAGGATGGAAATGAATCTCGAATGGATTAATGTAGACTGTTGATTAGTGAGACCGCTTCAGTTGGATTGTAAAACCTCTTGAATCCTCTTCAATATGTTTTTCTTTGATATCAATCAAGCGTCTACATTGCTGGACTGAAATGGTCTCTTTTTGGGTTGTGGGCGTGAAAGACCCTTGTACACCCATCTTTCCAGAACACGACCCGGGATCTCCGTGGGATGCCATTCATATTTCTATGATTAATCTACAGTATTTCTTGAGGTGGATCCACGATTCTGTCATCCTTTTTGGGTTAATTCGGGATTTAAAACGCATTTAAACGTATTTAAGAAGCTGGTGATACAGTTTCATCTCCTGGTGGTTGAAGCTCTCTCATGTGTGTGCGCTCCACCCCTTGTGGTTTTTAGCCCCAAAAAGACTGGTCCACCGGTTCATTGCCGGTCTACGTCTACGTTCCAGGCCTGGAAGCCCAAGGAGACCGACTTGAAGCCCACCTCCTTGGAAGCGGCGGAGCAAATCGTTTCTCAGGCCGACGGCGACGGACGTCGGACGAAGGGGGAGACGACGTCCCGTCCACCGGAGCTGCGAAGTCCCGAGGGGTAGAGAGGTCAACTCGAAAAGCCTTAAAGAAAGGCCCTTTGCGAACGAGTCCGGCAGTTGAAAGAACGGGTTTTCAGGACAACACGCACCATTGCCGGCACAATACCATTAAAAACGATACCCAACCGTACCGTTGGTGCGATTTCTTGCATCAATGTCAATGAGTCAAGTGGTTTCTGGAATGTTGTTGAAAGGGTTCTGCATGGAATTTGGTGGGTCCGTCCCAACGTGAAGGACTCTCCCTGGTACCGGTGGGTGCGAGCTCGTCTAACGCCGGCGCCAGGGCAAGCTCTCTGAGCTGGACGCTGAGGCGAGATGTCGGGAGTTGGGGAGTTGAGGACAAAAGAGAAGAACTCCCCTCAAACTATGACCAGCGAAGATGGGGGGTGTATAACTTAATACCGTCAACGGCCAATCAATGAGTTTTGGATGGTTTTGCTCTATGTTCCGAACCTTCCAGGAGGTCGGAACGCCTGGGAGGTTTCCGCACACTCCAGGGCACACCTCTTTGCTCACATGTGTGTGTGGGATGTCCTACTAATGCCAACGAGCTGATTTCAGCAAAAGTGGGTCCTTAAGGACCACCTTGGTTTTCAATACATTGCAATTTCAATAAGAATATGGGACCCGCCAGGTTTTTTCGTGAAACCTAAAATAATACGTGTTTTTTTCTCCGATTCCTTTTTTTGGGACGAATTGGTGGTTGGACGCAATGATTTGATACAACGCCTTCTTGTGAACTTCTAGCTGGTTCTCCACCACCAATTTTTTCAAATAAGAAAGTCGGCAACGTAAACCCAAATTAGACTTTTAAATCCAAATTGCTTTCCTGAAATGTTTTTCCAGTTTGCTCACCGACCAGTCCGTTTTATATGTTCACAAAAAGTTTCAAACACTTTCAGGACTTGTTGAATCGTCGCTTGAACCCACCTAAGATAATGCAGCAAACACATTGCAACCACAGTTCGTACCATAGTTCGTACTACGGCAGTTTTTTCAAAATTGGTTCGTACCATGTTCGTATCATCGAAGAGGGGGAGTTCGTATCATATGATACGAACTGAGGGCAAGTTCGTACCATGATGATACAAACTGGGCGCAAATTCGTATCATATTGCCAAAACCCTAGCGTACACAATATAACGCCTCGTTTTTCAGCAAAATGGCGGAAAAACCTGGCGGCGTATCCTGCCATGCAGGGTATTCTTTCAGTTAAAAAATTAAGCCAAAAAGAAAGGTAAATGCTCGCGCAACTATATTTTTAAGAGGAAGGTTTTTCACACAACTGATGGTGTTTCAAGCTAGATGAGGTGTGGGCCAACTTCAGGAAAAAAATCGTCAATTCTAGTGGTTGGGTCTAAACGTTACCAAAAATGAACCAACTTGGCTGCGCAGCGCGCAGCTTCCATTTTTAGTGGATTTGGTTGCTTGGCCAGTTGTTCTGTTTTTTGGTGGCTTGATTTTGGAAACATTCATCTATATTTCCGATTTTTTGTTTTTGAGCAGGGCAGCACACGAGTCACTCGTAATTTGAAATCGGCCAATCAATGAGTTTTGGATGGTTTTGCTCTATGTTCCGAACCTTCCAGGAGGTCGGAACGCCTGGGAGGTTTCCGCACACTCCAGGGCACACCTCTATTGGTGCGTAAATGACTATAGCTTGCTCACATGTGTGTGTGTGGGATGTCCATGTGTGTCTTCTGACCCACCCCATCCACATGTGGTTGGAGGCCGCTCTGAGTAGCTAGAACTGTTCCGGCAAACAGTGGTGCTGGGGCCACCGAACCCTATAGAGCGATCCGAGCGCCGCATGGCCCCCTATCCGACTGTGGACGCTTGGAGATCGAACCTGGCGAGGAGCGGCTCTCGTTGGCCTGTGAGAAGGCACCCACCGAGGATGAGGCCCTCACACGCGGAAGCAGGGATGGGAGGAGCTTGGGGGAAGCTCGTTTTGGACGGCTCGACGAGGAAGGCGGGAAGGCTCGAGGCTTTCAGGCTTGACGCATCCGGTGTTTTCCTGGTGACATCGTACTGGTTCGATCTGGTTTGGAGCTTCTTCCGTTGGTTGGGTGGGAAACATCTTGTGCCGAATCTGCAGGTGATTTTGCAGCTTCGCGAAGCCTACAAGGCCTTGGCGGCACACTACAAGCAGGCCTGGGGGCATTCCACTTCCTTCCCCCAAGGGGGATGGATTGACTCTTGACTGTCGCACCTTTTGATGCGGGGAAGTTTGGGGTGCCAGCTCAGCCCTAGCCGGTGGATTAACATTCCGGACCCGCTGGTAAAGGCGCTGGTCACCGCTTGAGACTTCCCTTTTTTTATGTCTTTAAGGAACTGTCTAAGGAGGCCGACCCAGTGGAATGAGTGCTTGGTTCACATGTGAACTATCAGGCTTGTTGTGAGCGAAGAGGATGTTCTTTACCTGCACAAGCAATGCTTTTGTTGTGAAGGTCTACCCCTACCAACTCAGCGAGCCGAATGAACTCTCAGTCCCCCGCCGCGTTTAGAACCGCCTGGATCTCCCAACTGGATCTCCAAGTTTTGCCAACCTTGGGATCCAACCTGCCAAGCTGGTTTTATGGATGAACGGATATGAAAAGGGCAGAAGATCCAGGTTGGCTGTCCATGGCTGTCTAACTCTCCAGCAGCCACCCAGTGTTCAAATTGGCAGACCGCCCAAACATCCTGGTTCTGAGTGTTCTGAGCGTCTGAAAAATAGCTGGAGCTCCCCTGCTTGTCTTCCTTTCCACCTCTCAATCGATTCCTCTCAGGGTCCATGGTCGGTTTCTTCGAACAGTTTCCACGTGCGCGTCCAAATCCACTCCCTGCATTTAGCCTCCAAGAGCCTCTTCTTCGGCTTCGCATCTTTTCTCTTTTCGTCGCGCTCGGCATCTCATCGTTCGCGCGCGCGCGCGCGCGCAATAGCCAGCCCCCAGACCAACGACCTCACCCTCGTTCGCCGGAGCGTGGTGCTTCTTCGGCAGATCACCGACTTGGAGAAGGATGAGGTTCGAGCCTTGGGAGGTCTCTTGGCGGGGAGCCCTGGAGCTGGTCCTGCAGCGCGGACCTCCTGCTGCTGCGTGGCGCGTGGTGCGTGGACGAGAGTGCAGATTCTCCGGTGTTGGCCCTTATAGGCGTTCCTTTGATTTGGAAGCATTCAGACATGGATGGGTTTTGGAACTCTGGATATCCAGAGCTTGTCAAGTCTAATTAATCCTGCAAAGAAAGACCTTGAAAGTGGGCGCTGCTGGTACAAAACTACAACATGGTCTTTGTGGTGTCGAGAGCAGCGGGTTACCTTGCGGACTGTAGAGGGACTGTAGTGCTCGAAGAGAGGTGCCATTTTGGTGGCTGGACACATCTGCCACCTTCGCCCATATGGATTTCGGTGGATTTCGGTCGCTTCTCCACGGGCGCAACCAGGTGCTGGAAACCAGGACCTGCCAATGGACTACCCGAAAAAACACCATATAAAACCCTAGACTTGTTGCCATCCATTGGAACCTCTTTTCAAGGGCCCTGGCAGACAGGATTGGATCCTTCACACCCACCCAAGATCCGAACTCTTTCACCCACCCCCCCGGTGGCCCGGTCGGTGGGACTGGACCTGCCCGCTCCGCCCCCGGCGGTTTCACGGCGCCCTCCGGGCGCGCGGAAACGGCGAGGTGTTGGGCACCGAGCGCCACGAGTCTCGGCGAATCGACAACCAATTGCGTGGCCGGTGCGTCCGAGCCCTGGAGACGAATCCTTCGCCCGGTGCGAGGGGAAGGGGAAGGGGGGGCTCAGCCACTGAAGGAATGCTTGGAGCGGAGGTCATTTTTCTTTTCTATCTCCCTTTTTGTTGGGGGGAGAGATGAGATGGGTCGAAGTGAAAGTGTTTGCCGCGGATTTGAAGATTTTCATTTTTCTTGCTGTGATGTTCTGTGGGAGTTGATTTATCCCAAGATACTTATATATAAAAAGCAACAGTATAAGCAACATATCTGAAGAATGAGTGGTTCAATACTTTGTAAGAGGTATTACTCGGCCCATCTTGGCTTCAGACTTATCACTGCGCATTGTATTTTTGACGGATTTTGGCCGCAAAGTTCCCATCTTCTGAAAAAGACGTGTCTTATTGGGCAATGATTTTGAAGCATTTATAGTTGGATGGTTGGAGACTGTTGAAGATGGTGGTTGGTTGGTTGGTTGGTCGGTCACTTCTCGGATCACCCACCTGGCCACCAAGGCGCGGCAGGGCGATCCGGGCGCTACGCGTTTTTTCCTCAGTCCGGGGCCCCCGGTTTGGGGAAGCGGGACACGTCGCCTGGGCAAGGCGAACCAGGAACAGTGAAGCAGAACTTGGATTGCAAATCCAGGTAGCGAAGTCGAACGGGTTGGCACATCTTTCACCTGGAGGGGTCTTCCATTCCATGCTTCCATTTTCCATACCTGGTACACGAGGGACAGCACCGCCACCGCAGAACAACACCGCACCAAACCGATCTGCATCGACCCGGACGATGATGTTCCGCCTCACTGGAGGTTTGAATGACACGATTTTCCGCATCTTTGGAGGCGGGGGTTCATCAAGCCGCGGGGGGATGGTCGCAGAGTGTCGTTTTTTTGTTTAAGTTTCGTACTTTTTTGTTGTTGTTAAAAGACCTGTTCCAGAGTTTTCCTTCTCTTCGTAAATGGAGCTTTTCAACTATATAAGTCTTTCTCAATTTGGTTCATTCACTTTTGACAGACTTGCCCCATTCTGCAGTGCCTCTCAAACTACCTTGCCTCCTCCATGAAGCTGGAGTGGTTTTTGTGCCATGGCCGACGCCTGCATACACCCTTGACAAGAGTGTATGCTGCTTCGTTCCGGCGATGGCATGGAATCCATGTTCGGCAGCGATGAATCACAAAAAAGAAGCTGAAGCCCTGCTCCTGGCATGAAGATGTATATATGAACATGAAGAACATGAAGAACATGGCATGGTATGCAATATCTTCGGTGAACATGAAGATGTCACTGATCCACGAAAAACATGAGGAAACATCGCGCTGGTTCGGGGGAGTCAGGCTTCGCTTTCAAGGTTGGAACCAGGATTGATTGCAACCACAACCTATCAAAAGTTGCTGATTGCAACCTAATACCTGGAGTCTTGCAGCTGGAAAATGCGAGAACCTTTGGACTCCTGATGCCCGCGATTCTATCGCAGCTCCTCATCGGTGGGACTCGGCTGGATGCGCCGCCTTTTAGCTGAAGAGCAAAACACAGACTGATCTTCTTGATGTGTCTTGATGTGCACAACTCTCCCTGGAAGAATCATGGTGTGGTGAGGTGGATGGGAAAATCGAACACTAAAGAGGTGGTGAGCTCCACTTCCATGATTCTTCTAGGGAGTGAGCTGGCCTTGAGGGTGCAATCTGCGCATGAATATTGAGCAACTTCGGCTTCCAACAAAGGCCACGCGATGATCATGAAACAACCTCAGCTTTGATATGCTTCCACCATCTTCCACCAGTCTAGCTGTGGAAGAGCGCTTCGCCCCCCGTAGACTTCAGATCATCTAACACTGCAGGATGAGTCTCCGGAGTCTCCGGAAGAGTTGGCCATTGAAGGACTTGGTGGTGGCTGCCCACATTATCGATGTGGCCCAATCTGCTGGAGCTTGGCACGATGCGTCTGTGAGGAATGTGTTGCAAGGTTGCTGGTGGACTGCTGCAGACCGAGAGTGGTGCTCTTTCGGAAAAGGGGCCAGCGGCAAGGATTGTCGCAGCCGTTGCCGTTGGTTTGAGACATGAAACAACACCAAGCTGGTCACACCCTAGCAAGTTGCTGTGCTGTTGGTGAAAGTTCCAGTTGCCCTGTCAAGAGACCGTGGTTCCTTTGCCAGGTAGATGGTTTTCTTGCTGCACAGAGGTAGGGGACTTCCTTGAGACAAGTCCCTTCTCCCTACAACTCGCATTGTCAAGCAACTGGCTGAAGGACAGAGATATTCAGCTTCCTTCTCACTAAGAGAGCGTAGGTCTTGTGGGTCACTCCGTGTCTCAACATGATCCTCAAAGGAATCAAAGGAATGTGAGGGTTCGTAACACCCATGGTGGAAGAAAGTGGTATTTCACCGTTTCACCCAAACCACTAGAACTTGGAGATGAACCGGGTAGCCCGTGGTAGCCCCTTGCCCCCTTGCTGATGATGGGCAGGCGACAACATCAAGAAGATGATGAGCCCCTCTGGCATGTTCTTTCAGTGCCATCGAGTGCGTGGATTTCCGCCTCAAGCTTTTTCGTTCGTGCTGTTGCCGCGGGGACGCTGGGCGCGGGGGTTCGTGCGCCCGGTCGGGAAGTTGGCAGGCATGATGAGCTTGAGCCAGAGAGATGATGTGCCACTGGAGTTCGAGAGCCCAGCCCGACCTGGAAATTGCCTCACCCCAAAACGCGCGGGAGTTGCACCAAAGCAAACCCTTCTTGTCATCACTCTCATACCAAAGCGCGAAGGAGCAGTTAACCCATGCGTTCACGCGTACCATCTCTCAAAACCAATCCTTCAAGAAAGCTCGTCCCTACCCGACCCCCTCTCACGGAATCAGCGATGGACTTGCTCTCCATCGGGCTCGAGCGGCCTTGCTGGTGCTTCACTTCTCCCAGCGGCGAGGTCGGGGCTTTTGTCCAACTCCTTGGAGGAGGCGCAGAAGAAGGTCGGCGTCTCTCCTCCCCCCACATGCGACCGCGCTTCGCTCTCCGTGCAAGAACCGGCGCCGAACGTTGGGTTCGGCGAGGAAGTGGAGGAAGTGTTGGAAGGTTAGGGAAGCTGACTGGAAGCGCCTGAAGGCTTGAACGTCATAAATGGCCTGAATATGAAGGTTTATCGATGCTATATAAATATACTGTATTATACAAAAAACAGCTTCAGGGGTGACTACAATCCCTTTTTTGGAAGTTTTTGGGACCCCACAATTGTGGCCGCTGCGCCGTGCGCACCATCCTCTCTGGCCGGGTATCGTTGTTCCGCAGCTGCTGCGGCTTCAAGCAACATGAACCTCTGATATTCTGATCTTCTTCCCACGCGTTTTGGAGAGAAAACTCTTGACTCTTGATCGGGCCCCGATAAAACATCAGAGCTTTGAAGAGAGAGAGAGAGAGAGAGAGAGAGACGGGAAACAGCAGCGCTTGGCGGCGCGGTGAAAGCACCGTGCGTTTGGCTTCCCTTAACAAGCTGAGGCGACTCAACCAGACGTGAAAGACTAGTCTTGGCGACTCAACATCCACACATCCAGATTCATGACATCCCACATCTTGGATTCTGCCCCGGTTCGGGGATTCCAGCCCAAACATACAGTAGACTAGAGAGTACTGTAATCAACTCACCTCACTATACTGATTTTCAGGCCCATTCGGGCCCATTCCGGCCTTCGTTTCCAGCCTATTGGGCGGCCCTCAGGGCGGGCCGCCTCGGCCCAAGCACGCCCTTGTCGCCATGCTTTGGGCCTGGGGTCTCTGGAACTTCTGTGCACCTTGGCTGTTGGATGTGGGTCGAGTCAAGCCAAAGAGTATCTCTTGGTCCGCATTTTTTGGGGGGAGTTCCCTCCAATATAGTTCAGACGACAGGTGAGGTGATGTTGCGGGGTTGATAACGATTGTGGCATGGAGGAAGAAAGAACCCACCCCACCAACTCATTGGGGCGACTGCCGGCTTCCTCGAGGTGACGGTGTGGGTCTTCGTGTTGTGTTCCTTCCTCTTCAAGGTGCGACACTAGCGCCGCACGAGCGCGTGGGGCGAGGATGCACAGAGGATGGATAGAGGATGTGAATGACCCAGAGACTGGGGTCAGAGGTGCTTTGGTTTCTGAACTGCGGTTGAAGGACTCATCGGCTCACCTGGACCAGTTTGGTGGACATCAGCAATCAGATGGCATTCAACTAGCTCTGGTTGCATGTCTTAACTCCTGCTAGCTGAGCTCCAGATGAGATCCACCTTTTCCGGTTCCCCTCCCCTCCGCCGATGGCGGTTTTTGGCCAGCGGTACTCCAAAGAAGCTCCAAAGAACCGCTCGTCTTTTGGCAAGCTGTTTTGACGTGTATTTAAACCACATATTAAGGATATATGTTTGATGAATCCCCTCTTGTGGTGTGGTAAAATGCCCCGTGCCAAAAACACCGTGCAGTTTGCTGTTGACGGCTGCAATTTCAAAGGCTCAAGATAGCTAGTATAGATTTCGTCGAAGGTATGAGCGACATCAGCCCTCTAAAGATTGAGGTGCTGTCGCTCACGGGGGAGCCACTTTTTGTTCTGGATGCGAATCCAGCTTGGACATGTGATGAATTCAAGCAACAGGCCTGCAACGCCTTTCAGCTGCTGCCGTTGCTCAGGGGCAAGTTGGATGCCTTGCTTTTTGCCGGTAGTGCATTGGATGGGAAGCAGACCTTACAAGCCTTGGACATCAAAAGTGGTAGCACAATCACAGCTGTAGTTGGTCCCATGAACTTCAAGAATGCTCCTACTGACAAATGTGTTTTGATTGAAGAGGAGGGAACGCTATTAAAACTGCTTCCTCGCAGTGGAGGACTTCTCTTTGATGTTCACGACGTTATGTACCCAGCAGCTTTTGGACCTGAGTTGAAATTGGGTCAATGCCACTTTTTTGAAGTGAAGCTCTTGGAGAACGGTCACGGCACAGAGAGGCCGGTGAGCTTGCGGATGGGCTTGTGTAGGGAATTCCCAACCTCGTACTTGGGCGATGATCATGACTCCTGGTCATTCTGGTTTGATGATGGAGATGCCTACCAAGGAGATACCCGAGTTCATGCAGGACAGCTGGAGATTTCAGTCCCCATGGGTGTTGGAGATTCCGTTGGAGTTTTGGTGGACTTACGAACACCTGGCGTTCCGCTGGAGTTTGTCCTCAACAGACGATCAACAGGACCCTGCCGCCGAACAGAACATGTGTTTTGCGAAGGAGCGCCGAACGTGCATCCCTGCGTCAGTTTTTGTTCAAACCATCCAGGTTGCACAGTCGCTCTGACGCACCTGGGTGAACCTCCAGATGATATCGCTCCTTTCGACGGCGACCCGAAGCCTTCTGCAGAAGCCTTCCGCAGAAAGACCGCGGAGGGGTCGACCGTGGATCTCGAAGCTTGGCGGCGACGCCACGAGCTTGGCATGCCAGGAAAAAGCCATCTGAGCGGGTGAGCAGTTGTTTCATCGTTTCATATCTCATCCCATGAAGAAGTGGCGGAGTTCGCCGAATGTTCGTTGTCCGAATTGTTCGCTCTCGCCGAATCGAATGGAGTCTCAGCGGTTGAAGCCCACTGATTCGTATTTTTCCAACCGAGTTGACACCACCAACCAGTTCAGACTCAGTCCACGTTGCGTCACCCCCCTCTGGCGACCTCACACCGATTGGGGGTGCGGAGGTTTTGACGCTGTACCTCTTTGGCCCGGGCGCCATGACGCCCATTTCGCCAGGTGACCGCTGGATGGGCCTGGAGGGGCCATCCGGGTTTCTGAGAGCCAAAAGTACTCTGTAGTAGAAAAGAGAGGGGCCCGGGTGACTTGGAAAAGGGTGAGATAAAACAGAATTGGGTGAGCTTCCCTTTATGCCCTTTAAAGGAGTTTTTGTATTCTATTCAAGCATTGAAAGACATCCAACTGTTTCTACATAACACAGTTTTGTTCTTTTTCTGAGAAAAGTGTCAGGCATCATTACTATCTTCAACAAATCCAATTTGCCGTTCACCAAATTTACATACTTTTTCTTGAAGTGCGACCTCACCTTCCCCCAAACGCCGAATAGTTGTGCAGATGCCTTCATAGACCATAGATCCGCTTTCCGGTGCTGAACTCGTCCACCGACCCGCGACCGCCCCGCGGCGCTTCTATCGGCAGATGTGGAAGAGCTGCCGGAGGATCGAGGCGACCCGACGTCGGCGACCGACGACGGTGGGTTGGGGTTAAAACATGTGTGTCTCAATGGAGGAGTGGTTAATGAGGTTTCCAACATCACCGAAGACCACTAAGTGGTCCACGAGGTGTCGCGATGGATCGCCGACTTGCAGGTGCTGCCCGGCCAGCGCTGCAGGTGTGTTTGGGGGTGGGGTTGGCCACTGGGCTGCTGGTGGCTCGGATTTTTTTGACTCTGCCGATATGAAGTCTCAATCCTTGGATGGGGTCTGATCCAAAGGATCAGGGGTTCCAGGTTCCCATCAACCGAGCTCACGATGGTCAACAAAGCCAAGCCACTTCAAGAGTTGGAGCTGCCAATGCTCGGATGGAAGATCATGCTGGACCTGCTTGACATATAGGTCTAGCTCAAATTAAAACGTCCAATAGAGTTCCCATACTCTTAAAAGGCGAGCCAAGTCGAACGTTTCCGCTTTTGGGATCTTCCTGTTGGCTCGTTTGGATGCGCCGTCGGCATCGCACCGTCGGCATTTTTCAGATCACAGCTGGGGGGTGGTACCGTGACAGGCCTTGCGGCGAGGGGACTTCGCGCAGGTCCTAAGACTGCTGGAAGGCAGGTCTGCTTGGAGTGGGTTCGACCGGGAGCACCTAGGACACGAGGGGTTCCATGACCAGGTGCAGATGAGAAGACTTGAGGATTTGGGGCTGTTGGCCTTCAGGGATGGGGGAAGAATGCTCTAAGCTACCAATATCCACGTCATAAGGGCCCCAAAACACTCGCGCACACCTATACTTTCAGCTTAATTGGAGTTGGAGTCTAGCTCAACGCCTTGAATTGCCCTGGCAGAGGAGCAAATCTGGGACAGTCCACCAGCTTGGATAGAAGTCCGAGATGAAGCAAACTTGGCGATGTTGTTTGTAGCTGCCAGAACCATCTATTCAACCTATACCGTAATATTTTTTCCAGGGGTAGTCAGACACAGATCATTTGCTAGAACCAAGCAAGATGCCTGTGGTAGGTGGTCTCAAGCAGTGGTCTCCAAAGAAAGGGTCTTCGCCCTTCCGATCCGCGCGCGGGTTGGTGCCTCTTCCGCCGCCGCTCTCTGCCGCAGCCGCCCATCGGATGGTTCGAATCGGAAGGCGGTCGCGTTCCACATGGATTCGAGGAGGAAGGCGGTCGCCCTTCGCCGGTGTCTGCTGTGGAGCATAGGGCTCCTGCTGTGCTCCTTGCTCTCGGAGCAAGGCTTCTCCATCTTCCCCAGAAAGGCGAAAGCTCACACACCAGAGGTGGAAGAGCACCAGGAGCCTGAAACGAAATGGCTCAGTTCCAAGCTTGAGGATCCCAAGGTCGTGACTTTCTTGGCTCTGATGGCCTTTTCCTTGCTTTCATGGTGCCGGCACCGCTCCATTCAGGCCTCCCGACGCTTGAAGAGGCCATACTCCCTCACCGACGAGGCCTTTTTGAAGGATGCGGACGCGGCGGCGCTGCAGAAACGCCTGGAGTCGGCCATTGGTTTTCTACAGGAAGCGGTGCTTCTGCCCATCGACAAGCGCTTACCCGGACGGCCCTTCGAGTTTGACATGGCGGTCTTCCCCTGCAAACCCACGGTCTTGATGATCGGGAACCATTCGTCGGGGAAGTCTACCTTCATCAATCGCATGATGGGGGTTCAGGTCCACAAATCAGATGGGACTGGAGGGGACTGGAGGGGAGTGCAAGGTTGCAAACAGGCTAAATGGAGTGAAGTTGGGACTGCTGGACAGGGATGGAATTGGGTGGGATCTGGCTGGGATAGAGGCCAATCCCAAGAACTTGTCAAAAAGAAACGGACTCAAGAGTCATACTAGAGTTGTGTATAAAATATGTACCCACAACTACATGCTTTCCTGCGTTGTTCGGTCTTTGTCCCACTCATGGGCTTTTACCCATCAGATCTCCGGATGGATTCCACGTCCTTGCTTCTCTCGACACGGCAGGTCCAAGAAACAGGCGTGGCGCCCACCGATGATGGTTTCACCATTTTGGAGCGCAGCGAGGAGCACGAGCAATTCGAGGATGGCCCCACCTTGACCGGCTGCTCCGAGAACAAAGCTTTCCGTGCGCCCTGACTAACGGAAAAGAGTTGGGCTGTCTCAGCAAATCTTGGGGTCGTTTTTTCTTGTTTTTTAGGGAAGTGCTAATGCGTTCTTGAATTCTTTATCTTTTTTGGGGTCTAATGGAGCAGCTGGACATCCCGGGAGGCAGGGAGTCTAGAGGAAAATTGGATTGCTGATGTTGCAGTGTTCCTTGATGGCTGCATAAACCCGTCAGGGTGAAAGACACCGAATAAATCATGCCTATCAGCCTATCAGCCTATCCAACCAGACACCCTAGTGTTTTCTACGGCGATGCCCCGATGTGGGAAGAGCCTCAGTAGGTAGATCTTTTTTCATACGACAGCTAAGAGGAATGCCAGGCTTCATTTCAACCATATTTCAACCAGATTTTCAGTTGCCGACCAAAACCAATGCCATCGAGCGAACGACACCCAAACCTGAAAACACCTGGTCCGGGTGATCCTCAAACACCTCTGCTCCAGCTCTACGAGTCTCAGACCGGCCCAACCTAACGCAGGACCTTCGACCTTCATGACCAAACATGTATTTTCAGATCCCAGGATGACATACCCAATGAAGGCATCCTTCCTTCCAGTTCCGTTCCTGTGGAGAAACAATAAGCTACTAATAACAAGTGCATCGCTTCTAGTAACAAGTGCCTTACTAGTAGTAACAAGGACGCTAGTAGTAACAATAAGCTAAGAAGGAAGCACCTTTTGGGACACCTGGACACGGAGAGGGACCAGATCTCAGGAGCTCCAGCGCTTTGGCCGGTCCTTCTTGGGCCACTGCCGCAGGAAGCGGATGGTCTTTGGGCATTGGAAGAGCTTGGATTTGGTCACACCATTAAACGGGGATCCATGAATTGGCCCATAGGGCCCTAGCTACAAGATCTTTTGTTGCGATGAGAGACTGGTTTCCTCCTCCATGGAGGTACTTTTTGGGGTTGATCTTACTAAATATGTCACCGCATGTCACTGCATGTCCTTCCAAAAATAGCTTGTGGGATGGCCATCGTTTTATCGGCAGGGCCGTTCAGAAACTGCCTCAGGTGTTGCCCAAGGATGCTGAGTTGCCTTATGGCTTACAGTTGGTGGACACTCCAGGCATGATCGATTTGCCCGGGAACAATCAGACCTCCAGCAAGGCCGGACTCCGCGAGTCCTTCCGTCTTTGTTTTCGGGGTCGACCCGGAGGGAAAGACCGGCGTTTTGGTGATGTTTCAAGCATTCAAGTCCACGAACTTGGGGCATCAAGACAAGAATTCCTTTCCTCAATGAAAGACACATTAAGATACTTAAATGGTTCCTAATTCATTAATTCATTAATTCATATAATTAGAAGCTGTTCGATGTTTTTGGCTGCAATTTGGCTGCAAGGCGAGGGGATACAACTTCGTGGAAGTGGTGCGGTGGTGGGCCAAGCGATCGGATCTCATCCTGCTCCTCTTTGATCCAGATAAGCCGGGCACCACTGGAGAGACCCTGGAGGTTCTGACCAAATCGCTGGCGGGCCTGGATCACAAGCTTCTTGAAGGATTGGGGGAGTTGCCAAGTTAGTTCTGTTGTTCTTTCCGAGTTAGGTGAGTTTTTTTCCTTTTCTTTTAATGTCTATGGCAAGTGGACCGTTTCCGGACCTACTTTCATGATAGGGACGGTTTTCTATGCATTCTTCTGGGCTGCTGGCAGTGCTAGGTTTTCATACCTAATAGGTTCCCCAAACAAGCGTTCTAAAGTAGAGGGGAAGACATGACGCTCCCAGCTCTGGTTCCAGCGTGTATGACCCACACTTCACTTCATTCACCCAAATGTTCCAGCTCCAGTCGCGGCACCCCGGCACGGGTTATCGTCGCTTCGTTGGGCCGACAGAGGTTCCTGGTGGTTCTGAACAAGGTCGACCAGCTGGACAACAACGTGGACTTTGCTCGAGCGTTCGGAACTTTGGGCTGGGCTTTGTCGAAGGTGATCCCGCAGAAGGACATCCCCATGGTCTGGACCATGTACAACGAGCCTTGGCGGCCGAAGCCACAGTGCCACGCGCGTGGTTCAGCGATGACGGCCAGAAAAGCGGAGTAGAAGACTCTTTTTGTTGTTTTCCCTTGATTTTTGCGAGCATGGTGGGGGGTCCTTTTGTGCCAGTCAGTTGACTTCTCTTTCCGTCGTGCTGGCCCTCCAAAGGGGTGGACGGTCCGCTTCTTTGCGACCGTACGGACTGGTGAGTAGTTCGTACATCTTGACATCTGTAGACACCTGGAATCCTGTGGATCATGGTGGACGATTCCTTGTGGGGGTCTCCCTGGGCCCCATGGGCACCTGGTTCTTCGCTCTGGGCCCTGGCGGCCCCTTTTTCCCCGGTGGCGTTCAGTCTGGTGTGGAGACAGGTTCGATTCTTTCCATGTCCAACCTGATCCAAGGAGCGCAATGGTTCCAAGAGACCTCCGCATGAGAACGAGCTGCCCTTGGAGGCCTTTGCGGCCAACCGGAACGCTGTGGTACGTGAGGTGCTACGGGCGAAGGCAGGATGGGGCGTGGAGATGGGCGAACCTCAGAATCCTCCAGCAATTTCTGTGGGCTGAACAGACTTCCAGGTTGTGACCAGCTTGTTGAATATGCATGGGTGTTTCTTTTTTTGTGGTGGTCGGGGTAGTATGGATGTGGTTCCGGTCCTTTTTAATTTGACAACCCACACTTTCCCTCTGAACCACTTGGGTTTTCGAGTTTCTGCCTTGTTTTTTGTTCTTTTTTCGGGGCTTGTCAGGTGCGACATTGGGACAACATCGTCACCTCCCTGGAGGAATGCTTGCGCCAGAGTGACATGCTCTCGCGGATGTGCAACAAGGTCCGGGAGAGTGCGAAGCAGCAAATCAGTCGCGCTTGGCGCGGGGCTGCCTTGATGCTCAGTTTGCCCTTCTTCGTCGCTGCCTTCATTGGACATGGGCGCTTTTCAGGGGGTCTTGCTACAGCTTGGTCTCAAGGTTCAGGAGTCGTCTCCTTACTGAGTCAGCTGGCCGTCCTCTGTGTGCTCTTATGCTTTGTGGTCTTGGGCCTCACACTGGATCAGCTGAGGCAATTCGATCGCATCCAGATGAGCCATGGTGGCTTGGATACCATGTTCGAGAGCGTCTACCATGACATCTTCATCCACACCGGTGGAGAGGACCTCCGTGTCCGTTGGGCCACCGTTCGCCCCTTATTGGAGGCCATGCTGAAAAGCGTGAAGAGCCCAACGCAGCTTCCACTCATCGAGTCCTGGGAACTGGATCGGATTGCTGAGATCCTGGAGGAGGACATCTGGTACCTCCGCCAGGTCGCCAAGCGCCTGCGCCCCGCGGAGCCCAAGATGCCCGAAGGCCACCCGCCCCGCGGCGTGGCGCCGACGGAGCCGGTGGCGGCGGTGGGGCGGCCCGAGGCCAAGCGACGGGAGGGAAGGGAGGCAAGAGAGGCAAATCAGGCGGCGCAGGCAGCGCAAGCAGTGGAAGCTGGTGTCACAGGCTCTCTTAGTGAGCCATGAGGACAGCTGGTGATTTCAGACAGCGACAAAAATGGTCAGATTTTCTCAGCAGGCATTTCTGTTCACGCTGCATCAAAGATCGGGAAATGCGTAGTAAGTAGTTACACCAGGGCTTTGGTTGTTTCCCAGTTGGGGCATTGTTGTGGCACCCCAGTGACTCGAGAGTAGACTTTTGCAGACAGGATCACAGGCATAGAATGCATCTTCTCATGTCAAGCACTCTCTGCCATCCCCAGCAGATTTATGAAACAAACATCACCGAACCCCGGTCGGGCACAATGAACCAGCAGTCCAATGAACATCACCAAACCCCGGGATCCCGGACCGAGAGATCGGCTCGGGCGGGCTAAACCCACCCGTCCTCGGTCGCTCCTCGGAGGCTGCGAAGAGGCGCCCTGCCAGACCTTGCGTGGGGAGCTGCAGCTCACCGGCTTGGAGGCCGGGTGTGGCGAACCGTGGCGTCCGGCGGACGTCGGGCGGCCGTGGCGGACGGCGGTGGTGGGCGTGGCGAACGAGCCGGGGAAAGGCTCCAAGAAGAAGTGGATGGATGGTGGATGGACATTGGAAGTGTCCCAAATGGGCTCGTGACCACCTGGGAGGGCACCCGAGTGGAGAGATTCGTGCGATTCACTTTTTGAATCGGCCTGTCAGATGTGATATCTCTTGAAATGGATCAAACAGATGAGAAGATGTACGTAGTCAACCGTTTGGCTTCAACTTCGGCCCTCCGACTGGGGAACGCTTCAGGTGGAACGCGACTTGCCAGAAGCCATGAGAAGCTTCCAGGCCTTGAACGACGTGGATCAAGACAATAAATTCTTGTTGAAGAAGGAGTCAAGGAGGACATCATAGGCTATAGATGGCTATAGTCTAATTTGCAGTGTTTTGTACATGTTGCACGTGCACGTGATATTTCAGATCCCCCTGAGTGGCCCTTCTGATGTCTGTTGTTTAGTTTTTGTTTTTTCTTGGGTGTCGGCAGAGTTCTGTGCTGAAACTATATAGGTCCATTTGATCATCTTCACCAGTTTGGAGTCTGAAGGACCCACATAGTGAGCTTTGCGGATCAGTCAGTCATACCTGAAGAAGGTCACAAAAGCACTTTGAGAGACCAGCTGCACATCAAAAACCTCAAACATCCTGGGCCAGTCACTTTGAGGGCTTCCTGGAAAGGAGCTGTTCCAGCAAGTGAACCATGGTGGGACCTCCAGGCGGCGGCTGATGTGGGTGATCCTGAAGCGCAATACGCGCTTGGAGTCCTTTTTGCGAACCTCTTGGAGGACTCAACGAAGATGCGGGGTCACAAAGAAGGAGTTTGATGGTAAAACCTGTGCCTTTTGCAGTGTTGAGTTGGTGAAAAGAACTCGAGGATGAGCATTTTTCTAGGAAAAGACAGCACAATGCAGCTCAATATAGCACTGTGTCCCAACGTGACTTGTCAGCTCCAAGTTAGTCCAACTACCTGCCTTTGTCGCAGGATGATCCTGAGGAACTGCACAAGAACGAGGCCCTGCCTTGGAGGTGAAGGGAAAGGCTTGATTCATCCATATTCATCTACGCTTTCTATTGATCCTCAAGTAGCCTTACCGTGTTTACCAGGATTTGTAGCAGAGGTGATGATATCATTGATATTCTATCTTTTTGGGACCTTAAGTACATAGTGTATCTTAATCTTGCAGCCCACCTACCTGTTACATCTTGAGGCTGCCATCAAGAAGGACCCGATTCTTACACATCTCAAGGGCGTCCCACATAGCTCTTGAGGTAGACCACGGGTGGCAGCTCCGCTCCCATCGAACGCTCCCGTCGTTTTCGACGTTCGACTCGGCGCTCCTCCGAGCTTCGATTGCTTCGATGGCGCTTCGTCGAGAAACCGAACAACTGCCAGAGTGCCGAGGGGCTGAGTTGGCGTGGGTGGTAGGTCGGGTAGGTAGCTGCTGGATCTTCAAAGACTACACTTACTGATGAGGAACATCATTATCCAACCTACCTGGGTGACTTCGTTGGTAACTGGGGGCAGGCAGAATGTAGAAAGTGAAGTACACACTGGTGGTACTTGGGTGCCTCTCCTACACGCGGGCCGGCTTCAGGGCCTCAGCGTTCTCTATCTCTATGCCGCATCGGTGGTGAAGCATCATGGCGCTCTGATGGCACCTTGGGCCGAGAAAGAGTGATGGCATCTTTCAGAAGACCGGGAGCGGAACGGTGACTATGATAGAACATCAAACTATACAGTAATAGACATAGATGAGACGATTAAAGGTGACATGATGACGCAAACATCAAAAAACATCAAACATCCATCAAATCCTACACTAGTCATCACTAGTCACTAGCTTGCAAGGGCATACAGAGCTGCAGGATCTGGGCATTTTTGTTCCTGAGGCCATGGGCTACAGGCGCGGAGCCCGGTTCATGACGTTTCTGTGGATGAGCTTTTGGTTGAAGCATGAAATGCCACACGACACCATGCATTTTACGACCAGATCCAGGCATGGATGAGTGCTCAACCGAGTGATTCTATCTTCCCCACAAACTCTCCGGCAAGCAACCAAAAACAGCATCAAACAGCTACAGCTAAGGGTGTGTGTGTGTGTCTCTCTCTCTCTCTCTGCCCATTCGTGGACTTGGCACGTCCCAGGCACAGTGAAGGCTTGTCTGTGCCAAAGAGCTGCAGCACTGCGGCGCTGAATTACATTGAGGCGGAGAAAGCTCGTGTCCGGATCACGTCCGGGAGAAAGCTCGTGTGGATGGGACAGAACCGGGGAGACATTGGAGCAGGAAACCCATCGTTTTGGAGGTGAAAACCATGGATTCTTGTAGATATGCGTAGATGCCCCCGCCAGGATTGAGTCTGGGTGAATCGCTTCTTCTTCTTCTTCTTCTTCTTTTGGTTGGACGGTCGGACCGTCGCTGTGCTGGGGTGAGTTTTGAGCCACACGCCCATGTCCATTTTGTAGCATGTCAAAGATGACCCGACATTGTGTTCAACTTCTTGGTTTTGGGGAATGTCGGGCCGCCCTCACGCATGCTTGTGGGTCTGTCAAGGGGTACTGTAGCATACAAATCTGACGGGTTGTAGCTGTTCGCCCAACATGCCAAATCCCCTCCTTTATCAGGCTGGGGCTGTCTTCATATCCCACCACCAAATCATAAAAAGATCATGAAAGCCAACTTCACCGGGCCCCAAACAAAGGCCCATCTACGGCCCCCAGGTTCACCAGCCGGATTTTTCTCGCGGATGCCACACACCAACAGGGCGGGCCCCGGCAGGTCGCGCGGGAGGTGGCAGAGGTCTACTCTGCCGGGATGCCGCAGGCCGTGGAGCTCGTGAGGCCGAGTGGACGGGCCGAGGCCAAGGTCGTCCAACGGGTGAATTGGCCCGGATGCTTTTCAGAGTGGAACGGTTACCAACCGGCATCAAACCGGCACTTCATGGATTTTGGAAAACGGAACCAATTGCGAGCTTGGGCATGAAACGGAGAATGGAACCCCTGGTTTTTGGAACATTGCACCAGATGGGGTGAGCTTTTCTGTGGAAGGCTTGGTGTGGAGAGCGATCGGCAGCAGATGAGCTTCTCCGTGCGCTTCTTCGCGTTTTGACGGACGTGAGGGATACGGAGGATGGGGACGCTTCTTGGTCCCAAGACTGAGATTGAACCTGAAAACCTGGGATCTTCCACGGCACGAAAACCAAAAAGATATGTCACTGGACAAACCCCGAAAAACTCGACTCCGAGATAACTGATCACGTGATTCACTTGGTTGTTGGGGCCTTCACATGTTTGACCTTCTTCGGAGCTCAACGGACCAATATATATATATATATAGTTCAATAGTGGTTGGACATGCTTGATGACGTCTGCCGCTTCTTCTTGAAAATCCACCACAAGGCTGGAAAAAGAGAAAGTGTTCGGGTTTCTTGGGACGCCTGGCCAAGTTGGGTGTAATTTTCGTTTTGAAGGAGTTGCTGCACTCATGTCCTCTGAGACTCAAATGTTGCGAGGAATTTTTGAGCCAACTCAGCCCGGAGGGCTTAAAAGATCGTAAAGTACCCTTTCTGGCAAAGGTTCACATCGTGACTGGTAGATCAATCAGCTCGTGCGGTTATCCGAGCATGTCACATCACACAATTTGATGACTCAAACTGGACCTCCAAAGCATTGGATTGTGGAGGAACCTCGCTTTTGGAGGGGTCCATTGCCGGAGTCTATCTGCGTTGTCTGTGATGTCTGTGAGGTATTTCCAAGGCTGTTGAAGGAAGGGAAGCCTCCAGACAACCACTTCCAAAGTTGCTGTTTTCGCATCTGCGGACGATCTTTCACAGTACTTCAAGGTCATAGCTTCTCCCATAGTTCATCATATATATGCAATATATATATATATATATATATATATACACCAGCAGTCACAAAGGGGTGCTTAATGGAGGTTAGGGGTGCCCAGAACATCCACTCACTGGATGGGACCAAACACCACCCCGACTCCTGGTTTAGATCTCCCAGGTTCACCCAGAATCCCCAATTCCACTGCGTTGCTTTCCGCCAGAAGTTGGGCTTCCTGGAGATTGCAGCGAGTGGCTCGGACACAACACCCATGGCGAGACTGTCGCACGGTCCAGTTGGGGGGCGGACTCTTTGAGGTCATCCTTCGATGAAGGTGGCCACTTTAACATGAAGTGGATTCACTGCCAGCAAGTGGTCGGGGATGTGCTCGTGAAATCTCTTTGCAAGGTCGGTGCTCGCCTGGCAGGTCTTTCCTTCTTCTTTAAGCGGACACAAGCCACAATTGAAAACATCTCAAAGCCTCCAGCACCGTGAAAGAAAAGGGCCAAAAGCGGTCTGGGCTGCCTTTGGTTGTTTCCATCGTCACCTAGGCGGCGATGCCAATGTTGCAGCTGCTGTGCTGGGCTGAGCTTGGTGCTGTGGAAGAAAAACAAAGAGGAGGATGTCCTCCTACTGGTGAAGAAAGATAAGAACTGCAACCTTCTGAAAATTAGG